GCTTGCTGGCGACCAGGATGGTCAGATGTCTGACTTTTTTATCCACTCTCACTTTGCACAGATAAATCTGCGCTTAACTGTGGCCACCATGTTATAAACACACTCAGGTTAAGATGGGTGACCGGGGGAGTTGTATGTTAGCTGGCTCGCTATCAATTTAACGTCAGCTTATGTTGACAAACAAGCCTGCGTGCTTAAAATCACACACACACCACTCTGAGCCAGCTAACGCCAGGTTGCTAGCACGGCTAGCTTAGCCAGCTAAGTAGCTCCGCTAAATCCAAACCTCGCTCCGAAAATCCGCTCACCTCGCGTGCGACTTGTGTCCCGTCAGCAGCAGCAAACCGTAAGTAACTCCGAGAACCACTTGCGAAAGGTTTCTGCGTTTCAATGACGGCGCACTTGCTTTTGCTAGCCCGAGTTATCGCTTTGGTCTCTGCTCTCCGCCATTTCCAATCGCTCAACACAAACAAACAGGGCTGCTCGTGCGCGCGGAGCGTCGAGGCGCGCTCACGCCGAGGGCAGCGGGCAGACGCTTCCACAGTGCTGACAGAGGGGAGACCCGACTGTTGATTACATGTGATTAATGTGTCGCATGTGTCAGGGTGAATGTGCAGACATACAACGTGTATTTAGCCACACCGCACCGAGTGACTGGAGGAGGGTGAGCACTGATGCTTTCTGGAAACTATTAGGCCTCCTAAATCCAGATGCTGTACACGCACTGTGCAAAATCCCTGATGTGTCATATATCTCGCCGGGGCGTTTTCAAGAAAACATGGTTTGGGAAGGGCAGGTAGAAAACATTGGGTCTCCTACAGAAAGCTGCACCAAGGCGAGAGAGTTCAAGCGTCATGGAATCTGGGAGTCACAAGTGATGGAAAGCTGGAGTGTGAGATAGATCTGCAGATTGGTACCTGTCAGGATTCTCAAGCAGTCATCATGGCAAAGAGATGAGTCGGATCTGGTTCGATGGACTGACTGATGGATGTCATTGATTTTCAGGTTCATGTGCAGCTCTGTGCTGTGTTTACAGAAAGTAGTACATTAAATACTTTGTACGTACACCAGTATAACTCTCCAGGTTAAGGAGGTGACCACTATGCTACAAGCTGGGAATTTTGCCCTTCCCCTGCTCTCTTCCACCTTTCCTGATAACCCTCAAAGGTGAAAAAAAAAATTGGTGAAAATGCTAAAGTTTTATCATCAAAATGTAGTTAAAGTTTAACAGTCTTTATTCAGATTCATACATGCAATTTTAGTGAATCCTATATTTTGATTTATCAGTATGTACATCACTCTAATTGTTTTGAAATTAATTATGAATTTCTTATATACCGATATATGGTTTTATTTTAATAATATAACTTCACCAATTCAGTGTATTAGTGGAGTTATACAAATAATAGGTAACTAAAGTTGGTATGTACTGTATACAGTACCAAGAACCATATCTGCATCCAAAATCGGGTGTAGTTGAAGTAGAAAGGTGTCAAATTACTTAAAATACAGGTACATTAAAACTGTACTCAACAGTTTACTCATAAAGCACCGTTTCAGCAAAAGAAAAAGTAATCTGAAGGTGTTTTATACTGTACAGAGAAAGACCCAATGAACAGACAGTCCCCTCAGCAAGCATTTGGCAATGATGGGAGGAAGAAAAAAAATCTGCAAACAGATTTACTATAAAAAAAAAAGTCAGATTTAGAAAAGAATAAATAAATAAATTAGGCAGTTAAATTTATCATAAGAAAAAAAACTTTACAAATTGACAGTATTTTTCACACATTTACAGGAAAAAAAACAGGCAAATGTATGAAAAAATGGTAAATTTAAGAGATATATGTAAAGGGTAAAATCAGGTCAATTTCTTAAAAAAAATTACCAAAAGAAATACTGAGATAAAAGCTGACAGTCAAGAAGAAATAAACACTATGTGACAAAAAACTCTCAAATATATAAAATAAAAGTTAGAAAACAGCATTTTAGTGAAGGAGCCATACAAAGTTAATCACTTATTTGAGCTCCACTAATCAATAACTGATCGTAAATGTTGCTGGAAAACAGCGACACGTTTTCTTTGTTATCATTGAGCTTATCAGCAAACTGCATTTCCAATCTGGACTCCACTGGTCACTAAAAGTGCAACAGGAACACAACACACTGCGTACACGTTCAGTAATATGTATGGGTCGATGCCACCCCAACCCCCCTTCAGCACCGCTTCTGTTTTTGGTTCATTTGAACCAGATGACGGAGTTGCCCAACAAGTGAAAAATCACTGTAAGCATCTGCAGAAGCAGATCTGATTTGTCATTTGGCATCTTTAACTTAATTTTATATAAATGCTGATCATTATTTTGCTTTCGTTTCCACTCACATGAAAACACTGTCACAGAGACGTGCACGGACTTTGCTCTGTCAGAGCTCGCAGTTCATCTTCTGCTGTTTTCTGGCAAGTTTTGGAAACCACTGAGGCCAAATTTATAAATATAGCGTATATCCTCATCTCTATAAACTAACGCAGCAGCACAACACTCATCTGTTAAGTGTGCCTGTCATCCTGCCGCTCCTTTGAACTCTGGATGTTATGATAAAATTACAGTAGCGTGTTTAAGGCAGCATATTCTGGGAAATACACTGAAGTAATTACATTGTGTGTAATATGTTGATTGGTCACTCGCATACTTCAGAGTGCTTTTACTTCAGAGTTCAAGGTTATGAGTTATGAAAGCAGGCGTTTGGACACATGGAGTTCTAGACGTGGGATTTATTGTTGTTTATCTGTCTTTTATTGCCTTTTTCAAATTTAATAATGCCTGTTAAATGCCTCTTTACAGCGTGCCTGAAAGTAGTGGTGAAATCTGAAGATGAGTCACGCCTGGATTAAAACCATTTTTGTTATGCATTTACAGCCCAAGTTTATAGTGTAAATGATCTACAGTTAATTTACTACTGCTGTGCTCGCAGTCGGCTCGATTCCAAGTTATTCTTCCTTTTTTTTTAACGTCATGGCTGAGATCCCTGTTAGGAAAGAAAACAGGTTCCTAAAATATCCAGTGTCAAGCTTGATAGCCTCTCAGTGAAGCATAAATAAAAACAACTGACAGTGCGGCGCTAGCATGAATTATTTCTGAGTCTTTTTGGATAAAACTGCACGCAGAGAGAAAGCGTATGTTTATGAACATCACAAACATCTGAAGTTTGTGTTAACACAACAGCAAAAAGAGCAGCTGAGAGGCTCTGCAGCAACTTTTGGTTTCTCTCAGACCTCTAGTTTATTGTCAGAGTGACTCAGTTAAGAGTTATTGTGAGCTTCTGACCACTTCTACATGTACTTTATGAGTGAAAACGCTAAGTTTGAACTGTACATTGTGTACAGGGTCAGAGGTGGACGGTTAGCGGTAGCTATTAACTGTCCTGCAGCTGCTCAGTTTCTGCATTGCCTGTATCAGATAAAAATATTTTAATTATTTTTTAAAAATGGTTGAAGTTCATTTTCTAATGATGTTCTATTGATGTTATTACGGGGATGTTATTAGGTCCATCGTCTACTTCTGCAGGTTGGAAAAACAGTAAACAGACGTGGGATAAGAAACAGGAGCGTATTCAAAATGAGAAATTACTTGATGTAAATATAATTTTTTTTACATTTTAATTTCTGCAGTTTTCAGGTGAGGAGTCTACAGTGTCCAAGGCTCAAGTGTTCTTTTTCTCTTTTGTCATCCATGAGGTTTGGCTCTTATTCGTCACCAGAGATGGGCAGTAACACATAATCTGATTACTTTTTTGAAGTAATGAGTAAAGTAATTGGATTACTGTTACTTTCCTGTAAGCACGCTGTGTTACTGCGTTACTAAACCGTGATTTTGCTTGCGAGAGTGTCTCAAATGATGTATGAGTGTGCGACGTCCGTGGCAGCAACAGACACCTGTGCAGATCAACGATGCATAATATGGAGTGCAGGAGAGAGTACGACCACGCAGCGTTTTAAGTGTGTACTGACATTACTTTGAGTTTGATTCGGTAAACAGTTACAAAAACATTAGCGTCCACTGTACACTCTGGAAGGGAAGAAACTAAGTAATAAAGTAATTAATTACTTTTGAAAATAGGCAATCGATAAGTAACTGGATTACTTTCTTGGAGAAGTAATCGGTAATTAGTAACTAATTACTATTTTTAAGTAACTTGACCAACACTGTTGGTTACACTGGGCGAGACGGTCAGCATGGAGTTCACTGTCAGCGTTTGGCAGCACACTGGCTGATGAAACTTTACAGACAGCTTTGAAGTAACATATAAATCTAAAGGCAGCAGACATTTACTTAATTTCTTACTTAGTATAGAACATAAAAACAACTAAAACAAACAAGAAAAATATAGTTGTTGTTTTTTTCAAATTTATAACAAAAATGTCAGAAAAAATCTAAATGTATAGAAAAAAAATCTACAATCAAAAGATTCACATTTCTGAGAAAAGAAATCTCAAATTCAGTGGTAAAATATTACAAATTTACAAGAAAAAAGGGCAAATTTCTGAGAGTCCTTTTTAAAGCTTCAGCTTTGTGTGTCAAGATTTGCTGGATCTCATTTGTGATTTCCAGTAATAATAATAATCATTTTAAAAGAAGCCAGGCTTTGTGGGACAATTTTATAGAGAAAATTTATATTAATTTCTTTTTAAAAAAAAAAACTTTATGCTTGCATTTATTTCTGTGTGAGGTTCCAAGTTATTCAATGTGTTTATTATAAAATGCAAGTGACTGATTATGGGGGAAAAAACAATCAAAAAATCGAATTCATATTAAAACAACTTACCTGAAATGGTCATTTTTATTTAGTTTCATACGTTTTTGTTTCTGGTATCCATTAGACTGAAATAAACAGATTAAAACTCAGGCCAGAAAGAAACAGGCTTTCAGATCGTTTTTAAACGATTAAAGGAAATTCTATGATATTATGAGACGGCTCCAGGAAATTATGAAAGCACTTGTTGCTACTTTCTCATATTTAATCAATCAAATAACTGCAAGAGAAATAAACTGACCTGCAGTGTGTACAGAGAGGTTGATTCAGAGTTGCTTAATCTTGCTACAATGACTCATTAACAATGAACAGGTAGTGCAGGGCCTCATAGAAGTAAAGTGTGATTGGACACACACTCTGAACCTTATCGGCTCATTGAATGTGAGCTGATAACTTGGCCAGCTGTTAGGTCAGTTTATAGATTAAGCAGATGAGATAAATTTAAATTCTTGGATTCTTTCTTCTTCTGTTTCTTTTTTAAATCCCAGGCTCTTTGGTGACTTGAGGACTCTGACTTTTACCCGGTAACATCTGGGATGGGCTCCAGTTGTGACATGAATTTAGATAAAAGAGTGTAAAACAGATAAATATTGTTCAAATCTTCCGGTGAAACATCAGCTGGCAAGAGCTCCAGTTATAAAACAGTGCAGGCATGTAAATCCACACTCATCAGTATAGCGGCATAAATTTCATCTTCAAACAGAGGATTCACAATATGATAACATACACCTGAGTTACACTGCATTAAACAGGAATGGTTTATTTAGATGAGCAATGAGAACCAGCTGGGGGTGAGATAAGGGACTTTTGTTGGCGTCTCATTTTGCTTTTACATCACAAACGAATGAACACAGCTTTTGTATTTTGTAAAACATCAGAACAAATAAACCCAGATTAGCAGACAGTATTTCAGATTTTAATTCTGGACAGAAAAGGGTGCAGTGCCCACTGTCCATTTTGCAGACTGCAATTTAAAATAAAAACGAGTGTCCGGATGGAGAGTGTCTCAGCGAGGCGGCGGTGTTTGGAGGGGAAGTCATTTGAAGAGTTTGAACTTGCGCATCAGTGGCTGGACAGTCTCTTTTGGATACGGCTTCAGGGCTAAACACGTGGGGATGTTCTCAGGCTGTTCGATCCAAAGCTTGTGGGAGACACCAGCCTGCGTCAGAGACTCAGACAGACCAGAGAGGGCAGCCTCGTCTGGAGCCTGGAGACAAAAAAAGCATGCTCTCACTGATGACTGCAACAGATTCCTGCAATGAAGGACAGAGTTCTGGGAACAAAACACTGCAGGTCTGTCCAAACAAGAGGCTGAGACAGTACATCTATTTCTATATGCACCACTTTGTTTGTCCTAACAGGCTTTGGTGGGTTTAATAAAGCAGCCCAGTAAAAACAATAGACAACAGCTGTTAAGAGTAATACACCAGCACAATGCTTTCCTTTTAAATGTAAAGGGGAACATCTTGAAAGCTGAAAACAGGCAAAATGAAAGACACCCCTTGCCAGTCTCTTAAAAATGTAATATCATATTATGTTTATAGGGAATAAATCAGCACTCTGACACTTCTTTTAAAAGTGAAGTGCAATTTAAAAATATATATATTTTAATAGAAAAACTGGGAGAAGTTAATAATAACACAACACACTGTAAAGCCTCCTATTGGGCCGAAGTGGACCTTTCACTGGCTTTGGCCTCTGTGTTTGACAGCCCTGCTTCTGAGGAGAAAAATCTCTTATTGCGAACTTCTACTTGAAATTACAGACTTTAAAAGTCTAATGAATTACAGGGAAAATGTATCTGCTAGCGCATAATTTATCACCGTATCGTAATGTGTAGGACTGGTCTTTTAATTCGGCGCTCAGCTTGATCACTCTGATATTATTATTTGTTAAAATGAAGGGTTTTAAATGCTGCTAGAGAAGCAATGACTGTGAATAATAGCCATAAATCGATATTATATAGAAATTTACTGCTGCTGCTGATTTCAAATAAGAATGTCGACTTATAACATCTCCGTATTTAATCTGTATCGGGCGATGAACCCGCAATATGCTCCAAGAAGCTAAAGTAGCGAATTTCTGAACAGAGTTTGGCACGGCTGTCTTACCCCCAGCACCACCTTGTGCATGGAGTCCAGCTCGGACAGGTAGCGCTGTGTGTCCGGATCTCCGTAGTGCAGGTGGATGGCGGCGGTAGCGGCGTGGCAGGCCTGAGTTATCACGGCCCCCAGGGGCCAGGACAGTTTATGAACCAGATCCGAGCGGACCACTACGTACTGGACCAGCCGGCCGGGAGACCCGGCTCCTGACGCCGCCATCTTTAGCCCGGACAGGAACTCATGCTCTGTTTATTTTCCGGGTCAAACTGTTAATAACGTGTTATGAGCAGCACTACCGCCCTCTAGCGGTCACTGTTAAGACTCCATAGTGTAGCAGCCTGTTCGTTTGGTGTAAGATTCTATGGTATTTATGATTGCATTAACAAGGAAACAGCTGGGTAAACACCACAGATTTTTCCCCTTTTCTACCACACCTTATATTTCTTATTTTTCCACTTTATTTTCACCTTCTTTCTTCTCTCTAAACATAAATCATAATCCTACTCATCATAAATATATATTTATAAAAACACTACAAACCATTTTATCTGTATACATATAAGAATGTGTTCTTCCTTCACCTTATCCCATTTATTTGTCCATCAAATTTCAAATGCATATACAACTGTCTGCAGATGAGCTCACGTAAATTGTGTCAATTACTTCTGTAAATAGTAAAGCCTCCTGTGATTTGATCAATTTAGCAGAAATTCAAGCTGCCAAAAACAAAATTCATAGAAACATGTTTAAGTAATAAATGATTTTAAATAACTAAGTAGATTTGGGAGCACAGGAGGACAGTAGCTACTTCTACTGACTGTTGGGAAGTTTTTGATGAACAGCCTCATTTTAAAGCGATGTTTGGCACAGCTGCATCATAAAGCCCATAAAGCTGCTCTGCTGATGATGTGATCTCATATCTCCAGTGAGCACAACAGTGTTCAAGACAACCTTTACGTCTACTTTTAATTTCTACTGAAAAGTATTTGTCTGTAGAGTCCTGCCCCCAGCATGAGGGAGTGTGTTGTGTTGTTAGACCAAACAACGCAATGCATACATGTTAGGATAAATCTGTGTCTAGGCTTTGGAGCACAGTGTAAGGGTGTGAGGGTGGGCTCCAGGAGGAGCAGGATAAACACTCGCGGGTGTGTTGTTGACAGCTGTGTTGTTCATAGTGAGTTATTTAAGATGCGCAAACCTTCTGCCCCAGTGCAGCACAAGCTCTTAATGAAGCAGTCGTTCCACACGTCACATTGAACTGACATGTCGTTAAAATGAAGCTCTGAACTGAGGATGTCTCATTCGCTTTATAACTCGTTGCCTCGACTCCTCGCCTCTCTTCCTTTCACCCCAATCAGCCCTGTGTATTTAGAGTACCGTCTCTTCCTCTGCTTTTCCATCTGTTTCCCCTCACTCCTGTATTAATTCAACAAAAACTAAAAGCTTTTGTTTTCTTTTTTTATACCTCATAACAAAATAAGTTAACTTCAATAATGGAAAAAACCCCCACAAATCACCAGTTCATTAAAAAAAGACAAGCAAACGCCAGTAAATGTCACAATAATAATTTATTAAGCATACACATTATAATATAAATATAAAATATGCTATTTTTGATTTTAAAATTGGTGAGACATCATTATATCTGTGTTGAGACAGACGACCATACAAACAGGTTTTAATATTCTACCAAAATCGGCTGAAACTTCTATGCAGCTGTAACAAACTCGCCATGATGGTGCCGTCCTAAAATCAGAGCCTGTATTCACGGAGCACGCCAGAGAAGTGTAACTGATCTAGGATCAGGTCCGAAGTTAATGTCACCATAAATGAGGAGGCGAACTGGTCTTAGATCAGCCCTCCTAGTCTAAGATGCTGTATGCAGTGGGGCCCACGTACAAAGAGAGCACAATTACCTACCGTATAATTCTTTATATATAGTTCTTACTGTAGTCCAACAATGGCAATTAGCAGCATGAAAATGCACCACTCATATTTTATTCTAGTTCCAAGAAACTGCAAAATAAGTCGAAGAGTAAAGGAATGAAATAAACATCAAACATACGGATGATCATTGTCACTGTACTACGAGAGAAACTCCTCCACAGTGAAACAATCAGAGAGAATCAAACAATCAAATCAGATCGGAGCGATGACATTTGATGTCGCGGTCGGGTTCAATTCACTTTGGTCTCGGTCAACGGCAGGAAGTGGAAAATCGTGGCGTTTCTCCCAGAAGTGGAAATCAGCGACATCAGGTTCTGTGCGTTTGATCGACACGTCGAGGAGAAGCGATTCTCAAACCAGGATTTACAGTTTCGGTCGACTGATTCCAAAGTGGATTGATCCCCGAACCGATCAATGACGATAAATAACAAATAGTTTGAAGATTTTTTCCAGTTTTTTGTTTGTTTTTTTTCATCGGTTTTTTCTTTTTCTTTTTTTTAAAAGTTCGGTTGACATGCTGAATCGTTGTGTTTGCAGGTCTGTGGTCGATCAAAAGGAAAAGTATTGGGCGAACCACTCCTGGCGCTGAGCGTCCGGGGAGTCGATGGCAGAGTCCTTTGTTTCAGGAGGGCTTCAGGACGGACACACACAAACAGAAAGTTAAGGAAAGAGAAGTGAGAGGCTGATCGCTCAGCTCGTTTAGTCTTAAACATAAAGGGGTGAAAAGCACAAGCTTCACTTTAACGCTCTCCGATTTTTTCACACCGAAAGTCGATGTGTTTTTATAATAATCCAACTTTAGCCTCAAATGATGACTTTCTGATTGAAAAGAAAATGATGCTCTAATGCTTTCATCTCTCAGGAAAATATAGGTTCAGCTGAGCGGCCTTCCTCCAGCGAAGCTCCACAATCTGATCCAAAGCTAAAAACCTTTTTCCTTTTTTGCCTCCAAAATCAAAAACAAACATTCACACTCTGTTGATATTAACATGCAGAAAGAGCGGGGGACACACATTAACAACTGTGTGGAAGATGTTTGTTTTAGTACTTCGTCCGGTCTAAATACTGAAATAAATCAAACTGAGCTCTGCATCTAAAACATCAGTGACTGTGTGGTTTTGTGGAGGTTCATGCGAGACACGGTGTAGATGTTAATTTTGGACGTATTTTCCTAACTATTACAATAGCCCAAAGCAGCCTCTGTGTTAGTTTGTGAACATGAGCTAGTGACGGAGCATTACCAAAGCCGATCTAACCCTACATGTAACGGGATGCCCGCCTGTGCACATGTCTTCATTGTAACCAGTGATGTAACAGATGAGTTCAGCCAGTTCTTTAGTTACCACATTCCCTCCTTCCTATTGGTTGTTGTGTCGCCTGATCCTGACTTCTCCTGCTGTGTCCAATACTACGTGTGTTTTTATGTGTGTTATTTTCACTGCAGTGGCAGATTGTCGTTTACATGTTTGTTTTTAGAAAATAAAATTATTTAGACAGAAAGATAAGGGGGAATTCTGTTTCTCCTCAGACAGACCAGCTAAACTTTTTTACTATCATGAATCAATAATCATTAATATTACTGTTAATTTAGCTGTTTGTGTGTCTACCTCTGATGCTTTGAGAAAATGTAACTGGGGTTTTGACCTTTTTCCACACTCCACTGGTGTTTTTGTGTGATTTAAGTTTGAAATCTGAGCGTTTGAATGTGTAATTTTCTTTTCTGTCCACAGGGGGCAGCATAACCACAAGATTCAAGATGAGCCACGCCAGTGTTTGTCCTTCTCCGCTCTCCATTACAGCTGATTGAATGACTACTCTCCTGTGCAGCCTTTGGAAAGTAACCACCCGCAATGTTTTTTCTCTAAGTAAAGGTTTAGTGAAGTTCACACAGTCCTTTGAAGTGAATAGATCTTTTAAAGAGTATTCCCCGTTTAGCAAAACTGTTAAAAACACATGGCTGTAGCAGCGCCGTCCCTCATCACCATGAGAACGGTTTAATTTGGCTCCTCAAAAAATCATATCACGATGCTGCTGCAGTAAATCATCACTAGAGCCTCAAAACAGCTGAAAATAGTTACAAAAATGGAACAATTTCATCCTGTCTGAATAAGATTTTCTGATAGACCTTAAAAGCTATTTTTTTGGATGTTATTTGCCTTTAGATGCTTCAATAATGTAGAGATCTGGGCTCAGGGGAGGCCAGTCCATGACCGATAGAGTTTATTATGTTGTTCTATCCAGGATTGCTTTGACTGCAGTGGGATCACTGTCATGCAAAACGAAATTTTGTAATGTTTGGCAAACTGTTATTTTTTGGGCATTTTATAGATTCATTAAAAGAAATATAAAGAAAGGGAACAATTATGTATTTTAGTGACAGGCTACTAGTAACAAAGTGTCTAAAGACACAATTTAAAATGGGTTCTTTGCTTGTCATGTGCACACACTGGTTTATCTCTTGAGTTTTTTTTATTTATTTATTGAATTTTATTGTTTTATTTATATTTTGATATTGCTAGGGATGATGCAATGATCGGGGACCATTCTTAATTTCGTTGTTCTCGTGACAATGACAATAAAGTTTCTGATTCTGATTCTGAGTTGATGGTTTTTTATGCTTGAATGATTCATAGATCAGTAACAAACAAAAACCATTTTTTGAAGCAAATAACGAGAAATGAAAATGGCTTTTGCATCTTTTTTTTTACCTATTCATGCTTGTCTGGATGAAAAAACAACAACGTGATGCTTCCCCACTTCACTGCCTGTTATTGTATGGCTACTACACCATATTTGAAAACTAGGCACCAAAGTTAAAACTACATTCTGAAACTGTAATACTTTTAAACTTCAAACAGCTATTGGACTGAATTGGAGGTTTTTGTGTGTCTCTGTTTTCTTCCGCATCTTAAAGGGAAGTACAGATTCAGTTGAGCAGCCTCTCTTCAGTGGAAGCTGAAAAATCAGATTCAAAGCTCTGAAGCCTTTGTTTTTTAAAAGATACAATTATTTGTCTTGAAATCAAAGTTTCACACAGGAGTTTGGACACAGCTCTGCATCTATAATATTAGTAATTGTGTGGATGAGTGTTTATGCAAGATATGGTGTAGACGTTAAATTCTGAATTCTTTGGAAGTATTTGAGTTTAACAAAAAATAAAAAGCCCAAAGCACCCTTTGTGTTGCTTTGTGAACACGAAATTGTGATGGACCATTAAGAAGGAAAATCTAACCCTAGAAGTAACAGGGTAACTGTCTGTGAAACGCACAAACTGTCATGTAATGCACTTTCTATGAAAATGTCACAACATTTGCTTCTTCCTATTTTTGTGTCTCTGAAGCACTTCCAATGTTTCTACCGCCCTGCGATGCATTTTAATCCTACGGCTGTGTTCACATTATAAAGGATGGGTGTAGCCACTGTGGCATCACCCATTGGCTAGTAAAGTCCGATTAAAGAAGCCTAAAGTTGTTTACGCTAATGCTTATTAATCATTGTGATTAAAAAGCCTCCTCTCTGACTCTAATATTGACCACAGTTCACAAAACAAGGTTAACATCATTTCCAGTATGACCTTAACATTGAATTATTCTTTATACTATTTATTTTTTGTTACTCTCTCACTGATTAATTCAAAACTGCTGCAAAACAGTAGCCAGAAATGCACAAAACGAACCGATGGGACTGAACAGGCCAATCACAAGCTGTGGGTTGCGTCGATTCGATGTTTAATAGCTTTTTTTTAAAATGAGGGGCAGGTTTTGGTGTAGGATTCCCGCTGAAACACAACTTGGGGATTAAGCTCAACTTTTCAGATTCTTAAGCTTTGTGCATCTTTTATATTGTCTTTGTCACATTTTAAAAGAGCACTGATGGGCTGAGCTTGGTGAGTATATGTGTGTTAAAATACTTTAAGAGGTTAGTTTCCTCAGCAGGTAACTCTATAACACTAAATTACTTTAAATTGGCATTATCCAATGATTTAAAGTCTATTCTTTTCCAGGAGAATGCCAATCGCGGCTGGAATTTATATGATCTAATCAAGCTGCAGTTCCTTCCTGACTCACGTCCTCAGAGGGGAAACACACCGTTCCCCAAAGTTTGAACTAATTAGTGTGTGCATCTATTAAAAACAAACACCTATCGGAGCCACTTCTGTTTCTTAATGGGCTACTTCTTAAACAAACAGTCCCATAACCCCGGGGCGATGCTAAAATTTTACGAGGGTATTTTTTTGTTATTTTACTTTCTCCCAAAAAGACCTCCCTTATATTTGCTTAGCCTAATAAATCTTGTTTATGCTGCGCACAGTCACAGTGCAGACTCAAGGCGTTCTGTTTTACCACAAATTCATAAAATATTCATGTTAATGTATAATTTGTGCTCACGGTCATCTCATATTAAACACCCTCAGAGTCTGTATTCTCAGTGTGTGCACTGACTGACAGAATCACGAGGCGATCAGAGGATTTTAAAGATAATTTTCAGGAAGCTTTGATGCAGGAAGTGCAGCTTTCTGTTCGCAAGAAGAAAAGGAGAAAAGAGAGGTGAAATGTGGTGGCATGAAACCGTGAGCAGAGAAGCTGGATGACTTGCAGGAGCAGGGCAGGAAATACGATGGAGAGGAGATGAAAAGAGATTGGCAGAGCATGAGAAGATGAATCAAGGTCAGAGGAAGAAGTAAGAAGAGCTAGAGGAGCGTATCAGATTGAAGGAGGGAGTCTATCCATTGTACGTGACAGCAGAGAGAGGATGTGGCCTCTCTTTGCATTTGCACAAATACTGGACATTGAGGGGGAAACAGAGGGCTAGAAACTCAGCAGGCTTTTACAAATGTGTGCACTTCACCTGCCTACCTTATTTTTTAAGGGATCAAGGTGCAGTCATATCATCTGCAGCTCAAGTGTTTAAGATTTGGTCTTTCAGTTGTACATTTCAATCATGTAGATCAGCGGTCCCCAACCCCCGGGCCTCGGACCGGTACCGGTCTGTGAGTCGTTTGGTACCGGGCCGCGAGAGCTGAGGCTCAGGTGTGAAATGTATGGTTTTCAGGGTTTTTATCAGTTTTCAGCGTTATTTTGTTATCGTTTTTATCGTTTACTCGGTTTTCCTGGGTCTTTTCACTAGTTTTATTTTGTTGTATTTATCCGCGACACCTTAAAGGCCGGTCCGTGAAAATATTGTCGGGCATAAACCGGTGCGTGGCGCAAAAAAGGTTGGGGACCGCTGATGTAGATTACTTCAATTTGCATTGTTTGCACTTTGTTTACTTATCTATATGTTTATATCAAAACTATTTAATTTAAAATATAATTTTTTTTACTATACTTTTTACGATCCATCCATCCATTTTGTTCCACTTATCCAGTTCAGGGTCTTGCTGTAAGGTGACATTGCTGGCCATGACCTTTTAATATACTATGATATTTTAGGCCTTTTAAACAGCTTTAAAGAATCCCAGGACTGTATGAGTAAATGCACACGTTAGAACAGCTACCTGAAGACAGCTTATCTTTATTTTTATAAAGATAATAAGATCAGCTTATGTGAGAGCCAAAAGCTGAGACTTCAGTCTGCTCTAAAGGTTCATTCAGCTATTTTTTTTTCTATTCTTGAATCTGTATGATGTCAACAGATTACTAATATGGTCAAATCTGGCTGTGAGCACAGAAGCTGCACCCACGTTCTGTTTAAACTTTCTGTTTTTGAGGGGCAGCCATTGAGAAGAAAGCGGGCCTTGAAGGGGGAGGGGTCTAAAATGCCTTGTTTTAGAGAGTCATTGAACTGGCTTGGCGTCTCGTTGGCTCTGGTAAATGAGGATTATTATTGTTGCAGAGTTTTGTATTTCAGATTTTGATTTATATTATTGTGTTTTTGGTGCATGATACTTGATATTTTGTTTTTTCTTCTGGTGTTTTTCTCTTTAGTTCCTGTCGACATGATTGTCTTGATTCCTTTCAGCTGTTTCTTATTCCTCAACTGTTTCTAATCCCTCTAATTCTCCTACATTTATATGCAGCTTACTCCTGACTTTCTTGTTGTCTGTCTGATACGCGTCTATGAAGCTTGTTTTTATTTTATTTGTTTGGGGTTTTTGCTGTCCATACCCCAAAATTTAGGGTCATTAACCTAAAACACGTAACTTTGAGTTAGTCATCTTGAATTTAGGATTAGATTAGGATTAGTCTGGGACTTAAACATACCCAATTTAACACCATTAACAGGCTGTTATACATATTGCGTTCTATATTTTCCTATTAAACAGATCTTTGTTATGAATGTTCTGGATGTTTGTAGGCACAAAGATATCTCCTTCAGCCAAAACGGGTGCAAGCTGCAGTCTAATAACTACTCTTTACTGCTCTGATGTCTGACTTACTTCTTCTATACAAACTGAAGTCTATTTGAATAACGTTTATCAGGGTTAAACACGTAACGACTTATTGATTTAAAGAGGCCAGCATAGCAAATCGCTCAAGTGTAAGGAAAATGTTTACCATCACTCAAACTGTTTGTTAAGAACAAAGAGTGTGAAGAGTGAGAGCAGAGATAAATTGTACTATAGTCTGAAAACATTTCAAAGCCTCTAACACCTGACCTCATACTGTCATCGCCTTACTTTGTTGTGCATGTTAGAATGTGTGTTAGGGTACAGCTCTGGCAATGAGGAATAATAATGCGTGTGTGCTTGTGCAAGCATTTTAAATCAACAGAGGTTTGTCCCAAGCTTTTGCAAAGCAGCCACTGCGCCTTACTCGGCAGTACAACATGCAGCACAAAGGAAAGAAACCACTCACTCACACACATGCTGTAAACCTACATGCAACTACACCCCCCCCCCCCCCCCCCTCATCCCGCCACCCCTCACACGCATACACACTGCATGTATTCATGTGAGAAGCATGTTGCATAATTTATCATCATATCAGTTCACACAGTTCGTCACAGCCACCAAAGCAGCGTTTACTGGAGCGTAGAGTAGAGCAGGATCAAAATAAGACACCACCACACACAGAGGGAGACGGTCCATAATAGCAAAAGACAATATCTACTTCAATACAAGTCTGCATTAAAAAAAACGTTTATTTACTTTTTACAAAAACGGTCGAGCCCATTTCGAGTCGAGTAAAAGTGCAACATGCTGAAATTTAGATGATGGTGAGGATGAAGAAAGAAACGTCACAGTGTGACACAAAACAACGACAAAAAAGACACAGTGGATAATAACAACAGGTAGTGTAAACGTCCTGAACTGAAAAGAAGAGAAAACAAAACCAAAAAAAAAAGAACATTCAGCATGCACACAGTTCAGACAGCAACATGTTCGGACTGATGGGAAAGAAAAGAAATCAAAAGTAAAAACATGCCCCTTTTGCATTCCAAGGCCATTCTTTGAAGCTTCAGTCGCACACGGGACTCTTGTGTTTATGTTGCCCTTTCCATATTATTCACTTCTATTTAAAGAGCTGCCAATGCCTCTGAGTTCAAACGTGCTGCAGCAGAAAGTAGTCGTGTCCTTTAATGTCGACTCAGGGTCAGCTGGTTTGTGATATAAACAGTAAAAACCTCAGGCCCTGAAAGGAGGCAGAAAATCATCTACAAGTCTTTTTGATTAACTGTTCGCCAAACCCTAACCCCGAGGAGAGAGGCTGTTATCAAAAACTATTAACGGTTATTATCACCAAAAAGTATGAAAGGACCAAACTGTCGTCATAGCTTAGCATTTATATGACTTAGGGTACTCCAGACGTTTAGGCTCTAGATGTCTTTGATGTAAAACTATCTACAATCCATAGTTAAATAGTTTGGACATTATTTCCACTTAAAAATCTAAATCAAGAAAAACAAAGTGGTGAGGATTTGATTGAACCTGGTTTGCTCTACTGTAAGCTGCAAACAGTAGCATGTCTGTTAGCTTATTAGCTTAAAATTAGCTTTTAAAAAGTAGCCCTGGTTACTTTAAAAGCCAAAAACATTACATCAACCATGCATTAAACAGTTTTTTCTATTGTTTTTTTCCCCAGTGGTTTAAAGTAGTAGGATTAAACTTGGTTTTCAAAAAAATAGCCCTTGCCTGACTCTCTCAGTTGTCTCTAACAGTCCTTTTTCTATTTGGGATGAATTTATCGCAGAAAAGTGTAAGAGCTTTATGCTAGCTTCCAACCTGCAGTATAACATAAATCTCACACAAGCACTCCATCAGGACGATAAAACCTGATGTGGCTCTAGATAGTACTTTGCTAGGGACAGCATTAGTGAAACAAGAACACCCCCTTGGTTGGAGTTGGGAGTGACCACTTAATGTAACACCATAACACCTTGAATGCAACGAGCCATGCAGCAGTTTTTATCTCATCAGTTAATACTATGTACTATAATGCCAGTTCACCCTGAATGTCTGAAACATGTATACGATGCCTGGTTCTACTTCCTAATGATTTTTTATAGTATGGGACTGTCTCATTGTTGAGGATTTCAATTTAATATTTTAGGGCCTTTGCCTTGGAATATAAAGCACCTCCTCAAGGTTATACAGCTGTTGTGAATAGAAAGGTTTTATTCATTTCCAAGGAAAAAATTATAATATGTTGACTAAACCTTGGTTGAGTTTGTTTTTCTGTGTCACCTTTAATGTCTTTGCATTTAAACAATCTAACATCACTGTATCTGGAGAATACCATAGTATCCACCAATCACCTAACACCAAATCTTTAAAATAACTGCCTGATTATGTGATGACTAATTTTGTTGCAGCTCTAGCACCTGCTAAATACATATATTTTAATCTTGTTCCAAACCGAGTCAAGTGGAAGCAACACCTGGCAGTTTAACCAGTGTGTTATCTTGATTAAACTAATAACAAAAACTGAGAAAATCAAGTAGCAACAGCTGATATTTAAGCCAAAAAACCAAAGTAATGATCTAAAAACAAGCAGCGTTTTTCTGCCTTTTTTGTCTTAAACTCAGGTTCCACATCTTGCTTCTACAACTGTCAACAAACTGCAGAGGGGAAAGCTCAACATGGCACCAGCAATCAACAAGGTTGGGAATCAGCGAACAGTTGATCACAGCACAGAGCTTCTGAAAGCTTCTTTTTTTAGAATCTGCAGCTATAGCTGACAATGATTTCATGCTTCTTATGGTTTATGAAAGTGCCACACTTGGCAAGAAAGAATGAGTATAATAAAACAAAACATCTGTAGAGAAGAAGAACCAAGTTCTGTTGTTTGTTTTAAAATCTAAAATAAAGATATTATATATTTGAATGTTTACCTCTGGCCACGACTCACTTCAGTAAAAGTGCTTCTGAGGCCTGTGATTGGATAATTAATGCGCTGCTGTTAGTCGGGGCTGAAAAGGTCTCACCTCATGAATTTCTTGGGTTCGGTGGGAGGGGTCAGCGGGGCAAGAGGTTTGTTGGAGTTGAGCTCAAGGTGATGGAGGGGGGAGTTGGGGATAGGCTCTAGGCGACTGGGCGGGGTTGGGGGCGGGGGTGGTGGTTGTGGGGGCTGGCCGCTCCCTGTACCCACCAAGCCCATGCCCATACCTGCTCCCTCCAGAGCCCTGACATTAGGAGAGCTGCTCAATCTGCTGGCTGCTGTTTTCTCATTCTTTCTCTTTTGCTACACAGGAGAAAAAAAAAAGAAAAAAAAAGAAAAAGGAGGGGCACGGGGGTCAAAAAGGAGCAAAAGGGAAGTTTAAAACAAAATAATAATAAAAACTTAGGAAGTAATGAAAGGATAAAAAGGGCAAATGGAGTACAGGGAGAGCTCTGGAAGCTGTAACAGTCCAGCCAATGAGAGACAGGAAAGAGCAGCGTGCTAACTTAATAATATTCAAATGCTGATCGAAGCAGAGTGAATGGATCAGTCTGAAGACCGGCATTGCTCAGTCACAGTCTTAAAGCACCAGTCACTCTGAGCAGAATGAAAGTTCAGATGAGAAGAGATGTGTAAAAGCGGGAAACATCTCACACTAACAAATGGCTTTGAAAGCAAAGGAAGGCTGAAGAAAAGAAGACCAGTCAAATCGGGTGGCACATTTATACACACAAAGACATGATCAGAGAAAGGGTTTGCAAAGAAAACAACGCGTCACAGGTCAAAGTTGTACCTGAGATCGTGTCAACAGTTAAATCATGCAGTGGGAACCATTCAGCTCAGACACACATGACAATGAGACATTCTGTTAACCAGAAACATCTTCTGAACCTGTTTCCTGCTACGAGCTATGAAGTCCTGCATGAGAATGTCAATCTTGTTCTAAACCTTTTAATTTTCTGCTCTTTTGTACTTTTTTGCCACAAAAGGAAAAGGTCGGCACACTATTTACTTTAAAATATCAATTTAATTCTTAATGCAATGTAACAAAGAAAAGAGTATTAATTTCAAAGGAGCTTCTTTAGACATCGGTCAAAGAGAAAAATGAGCTGCTATTCTTATTGTAGAAGCACTAATTGATTTAAATCACCACGGCAACCACCATATGTCTGGGAGTGTTATCACATGGGACACCAAGAACAATGAACAAAGGGCCCACAGAAAATCAGAATATTTGATCTGAAATATATTCAGTATACAGTCTGGATTAGAAAACACTAGGAGTGATTTTTGGCATCATCATAAAGATGCATTACTGAAGCAGATGTAGTACATTAAGCTGAATATTCTAAAAATGTTTTCTAAAAGGGAACGGGGATACAATTTGAGGGGGGAATTAAATTTAAAACATCCTCGTATCCGTACAACATTAAAAAGTTTTTGCATCTCTGTGTGTGGAGTGAAGCTGTGGAACAGACTAAGTAAAGATATGAAGCAATGTCCGAGCATGGCGCAGTTTAAAAAGCGGTTTAAGGATATGGTTTTTACAGGGTACAGGGAAAAGGTAGAGATTTTATAGGCTGTTCTTGTCTAATATTTTCATGTGTGTGCGCGTGCACGGGTATGTTGGTATGGGTATGTTGGTATGGGTATATATATATATATATATATATATATATATATATATATATATATATATATATATATATATATATATATATATATTTGTAGGTTGTGTATCCTTGAGGTGTTAATGGGGTTATTGAAAATGTGTATATGTGCGTATGTGTGTATATACGTATGTATGGATAGATAGAAACATATATGTGTATAAATAAAAAAAATAAAAAATTACACATAACATATAATGTAATTGCAAGGAGGTATTTCTGTAGTCTATTGATACTAGATAGTGGAAAAGGGGTGGGATTAAATAAGCTTATGCTTCTTCCTGCTCCGGCGATCGTGGCTCATGAGTTGGGAGTTTGCCTTGTAATCGGAAGGTTGCCGGTTCGAGCCCCGGCTTGGACAGTCTCGGTCGTTGTGTCCTTGGGAAAGACACTTCACCCGTTGCCTACTGGTGGTGGTCAGAGGGCCCGGTGGCGCCCGTGTCCGGCAGCCTCGCCTCTGTCAGTGCGCCCCAGGGTGGCTGTGGCTACAATGTGTGAATGTGTGCGTGAATGGGTGGAAGACTGGATATGTAAAGTGCTTTGGGGTCCTTAGGGACTAGAAAAGCGCTATATAAATACAGGCCATTTATATTTACCTTTTTGAACATGAACGTTATTTGGAGTTGTGGTTGCTCGTTTTCCTTTTGTTTTGCTTTGTTCATTTGTCTCTTTTAATTCTATTTTGTTGTACTTTTTCAACATGTTCAAAATAAAGATTCAATCAATCAATCAATCAATCAATCAATCAATCAATCAAACTTCAGTACAGTGCTTGAGTAAATGCACTATGCTATATTTGAACCACTGGTCCCATCCATACTTTCATCCAGTGGAGTTAATTGTATTTTTAGTGGGGCCTGTGCCACCCCATGCCCCCCCTCTGACCACACCCTTGACAACTACAAGATGGTCGTCATAAATCCAGTAAAAAGAGAAAATACGATGCCGGTGTGACAGGAAGGAAAGAAAAACCAAGTCTCTAATAAACAATTGATTTTAAGGTATTTATTGAACCTTTTTACACAAGCTGAGGGAAAGGTCTAAATTAAATTGTTTCAATTATCAAATATTAAAATAGAAATAAATGTTATTTATATGATTTCTAAAAATGTGCCATTTAATTATCCTTATATAGTATACAGAGCTTTTCCTTTTGTTGCAATATATTGTGTAACATTGGGGGGCGGGGGAGTCTGGTATCTAAATTAATGCTTGCTTTTGCTTATCTGGTTATTTCGCTAAACCAACATCCTATATACTGATTTTTTGAGAAGTGCTTTAAAGAACAGAAATGTTTGTTTTCAGCAGCTTTAAACAGATCACAAAATCAATGCTTCAGAAAAGCACCATTGTCCTTTTGGCTTTAGGTTTAAATTCTCTAGTTATATAATTACATTGAGCCACAGCGACTAACAGGAAACAGCATTTATTTAATTAAAGGTAATAAGAGAAAATAATTTTATTGCAGTCAAACTTCCTGATTTTATTTGACTGCATTCATTAAAACCAAAGGCCCTTTCCTTTTGTGGTGTTTTTATGGTGCATTGAAATCTATATGAACTGTGACACTTTGGTTCAGCTGCTGCAAACAAACAAGATCTTGGTATGTAGACCTTGGACAGCCTCCCCCTCACTCCTCAGTCTGTGCTATTATCTAGAAATGAAAGAAACACCACAGTTCCTGTTTCTCATGCCGTTTCCTGTCCGTTTCTCCATCCTTGACGACCTTCATTTTACAGAAAAGAATAAATGTGATAAAATTGATTTTTTTTCTCCCCTTGTCCTTCTACTGTCTCTCATAAACTCTGAAAGTTTTACTGGAACATCGTGATCCTTTCTTTGCTGTAAAACAACTTCATGTCTTGCTCTGTAAACTTTGCTAAAGGACGACAGTCACCTCAAAAATGGTGTAATTCTTAATAGGTATTACTTAAAATGATTTACTGTGGTACCTTTTTAAAACCTCAGCACTGATGGTGTTGGTTGATCAGCACGGATGTACATGAAATGACTTGGAGTGGATATCATCTTTGCTATGTAGTAAAATAATGGAGCAGGCTTATCAGAGTGCCCCTGTGTGTGGCGTGTTACAGGATATTAGGGCCTACCTTAATGAGCGGGTTGATAACTCCCACATTAGGACTGGCGGTGAACACTTTGTTGAAGTTGGTCTCCCTGTTGACGAGTTCCAGCTGGTAGAACTTTTTATCGTCCTGGAGGAGAAAATCGTGTTAGCTGACAGCCAGTTAGGCTGCGGAGGACTCAGGGGAGTGTAGAGTGACTGAAAATCACACATTTAATGAGCTCTGTCTGGCAACATTTCCGAGTGGCACACAAACTTGACACTACAGTTTCATGTCTTTGTGAAAACTGCTTAAAAACAGCAATTCTCACAACCAAACTCTTCTGCCCACCAGAATTTTGCACCTGTGAGGTACCTTTTATGCACTTTAGCATAAACTTTTCACCTCCCAAGCACTCCAAACTGTCAGAGACAACTCCACAGCTGACTCAGACAGCAATAGTGCCTCAGCATTAAAAATGTAACCTGATTAATAAAAATCACCATCTCAGTACCACTGAGTGTCAGACAAAAACAATGAATCTCACAATGTTAATGAACTGAAGTAGATTAGGTCTCAAACTGTCCGAAAGAGAGAAACTAAGCCTGACAATGGTGCTGAAAATTGTGATGCAGCGTTTAAATGAAGACTAATTCCAACATGTTTCTGAGGGTAGCAGTTCTGAATGCCAACATGTGAATATATTTAGCATGTTTCCAAGTTTGGACGAGTTGAAATCTTTTATTTTATTTTTAAACATTTCAATTGTCACATGAGGTTTCGGACTCTTCTTGAGAAACAACTTTGTGGTGTTCCTCAGGATTCTGTCTTGGGTCCTGCACTATTCTAATTAGCACCTTCTCTTTAAGTCAAATATTTACCGACTGTTCGTTTTATGAAGGACTCCTCACCCATACATTATTTTTAACATGTCAAACTCTGTGAGTAATGAGTTATTAAGCTGTATGTGTGTGTATGAGTAGTCGAATACATGTTGCTGCCCTCGACAGTCATGAGTGCAAATACTGCTTGATTAAACTACTTACTCATAATTAAGTTCATATTCAAAGGCAATTAACTGTTAGATTTTATAAGATGTTAAACACCCAGCCACAGTCACTACATGGTATAACTACTCGACCACAGCAAAATGTACCCAGATTCTGCACAGGCATGTCAACGGTAACCTGCAAGACGCTGGTGTTAGCACTGCTAATGTTAGCCACCCTTTACTAAATTAATCTGACGCTGTGTGTCTGAACTACTGACTGAAAAGGTCAAAGCTAAGTGTGAAACCATTTAGAATTGGACGAACCAAGTGCTTTTTTTATTGATTGTAAGACAAGTTCTTTGCTAAATGCTTGCTTTCAATTCTCCTCACACTCTGGCTTGTTTTTCTCTTTTGGTGTTCTCTTGGTTCTTTGATGAGGCTCATTAGCTAGCCTGTGGCCAGAAGTGACAGACAGATGATTAGTGCAATGGACGTCATTTAATTATTATTTAAAATGCGCTGGCCGTTTCCAAACAGCTTCAAAAGATGACTTCAAAGCTGGTTCTGTAGTAAAACCATGTGGTGTTTCACTTTAGTCTCGAATATAAGATAAAATATAGTAATATAGTATAAAAACGAGTATAAAATCAGTGTTGTTAGAAAAGTAACTTGTGAAAATCAGCACAACCTGAGCGATTTTTAATTGTACAGCAAACATTTTTTTTGTTGGGTTTATTCAAATGTTTAGCCTAGAGTTTTCAGGAGAGTTAAACATATATTTTGTGGGTCTGGACAACACTATCCATGCTTTCTCTATAAATCAGATAAGATCTGGAAAGCATTACTCATCATTTTTGTTCAGTGTGCAAACAAATAAGGGAGGATGCATTTTCCTCTTCATGTTTATAGCTATAGCTTCTTATGGTTGAGACTTTACCTCAATACCTACCACCAGTTTTTTGACTAGAGTTTCTCTCTCAGAAACCATATCTTTGAGCTCGGCGATGAGCTGCAGATCCTCAGGACGACTCTCTCTGTTCCTGAACTTATCCTCTGTTCCTTCCAACCTGTGAGATAAAGAAAAAAAAAAGACATAAGACCATAAATATCCACCCACAGTCTAGGCTAAAACAAAATTATACATATCTAAAAATCAAGCAACACGTCAATGCACAGTTTGATCCAACAAACTGTGTGCGTTTCTTCCACGTATTAAATATGTGACATCAAACATTAGCAGGGAAAGATTCAAAGCAGGAACATTTGATCTGGCACTTTATAGTGTATGTTTACAAGATGGAAGCATTTAAGAGTTGAGAAAATTAAAAGTGTGTATCAAAAGGCGATTTCCTTTTTCATTACACTTTAATCAATAAAACAGTAATTGTCCTTCCTTTCTTCCCCGCCCTCGCCTCTTCTCATCACAAAAACCATTATGTCAGCAGCTGTGCAGTCCCTGTGGAGAATGTTTTGATTCTGTAACTTAGGAGAACTTTCAAAAACGTTATAATGGATTTATTTTCACACTGGCCTTTAGAGAAATCAACACTTTGTGTAAAAGCTCTGATTAATTTAACGTCTGGTGACGTTTTCCCTTCTGCACGCTAAAGAGCGCAGTGCAGTAAGCGAGTGACACGCTCAAGCAAGCAGTCATATGTTGTACTGTTGGCTTAAATTAGTTATTTTTTTAAGCTGTGATAAACTAAAATTTTATTTTGTGCACAAAACTCAAGTAAACATAAAAGAAACATGCCGTGATACAAGTCATTATGCCAGTCTCATAATTAAACAGCGATGCACTCAGTTGCAGTTACTGTGTACTGGGTTGCTAATAAATCAAAGTATTTTCAGAATGTTTTTTTTTTCTGGTCACAAGAATTATGACATGACACTAGGGCTGCTCGATTATGGCAAAAATGATAATCACGATTATTTTCACTGAAATTGAGATCTTGATTATTTGACGATATTTAACAGTAACAATGTATTGAATAATGACTTTAAAGATTGTCAAAAAATAATATAAAATAGTGGTCAAATACTGATAACAGTGCAAATGTTTGCAATATAAAAAATAAATGAAAAATGTAAACATCTATGTTTAGTGAACTTTGCAGTGTTGCTCTGTGGTGCAGCTACAACACTGTAGCAAAGTTTACACACTGTGTCTACTTGATCCACGTCTGACTCCGCGAACCCACAATGTTTCCACACCACTGAAGTTTTTTTTTACCTCTCTTTTCAACCAGCAGTCACTCTCCTCTCCAAATAACTTCTGCTTAGCTTTCCGAGCTTCCCTCTGGTAATTGTTGTGACACGTGTTCGAAATGCAGAGAGGTGCGCTCGATTTGCCACACGGAGCAGCGCGAGAGTAAAGCACGAGGGAGGGGCTAATAATCGGCTCAGTCATTTTTAATGATCGTTGAAAGCCCAGATCGTAATCGAGATTAAAATTCGATTAATTGAGCAGCCCTACATGACACCCTCATAAATTTAAATTAGGAAAGAAAGAAAAAAGAACTTAAGCAAAAGAAACAATAACAGGAAAATGAAACCATCAAAGCTCAGTTACAGAAACTTTTATGTGAGGCGTTTTAGGAAATGAAAACAGGTCTTTTTGATCAAACACGACTTCTTTTCATGTTTAGCTGCAAGCATGTTTCTAGTTTTGGTAATACTTTTTATTATTATTTGACAGTGAACTTAAAAACTTGTTACACTAACACAGTACAAATTTCCCTGGATTTTTCTCCTGTATCTTGTTTATAGTTCTTAAAATTTTGTATTTCAGGTTATTTTTTAGGGTTTTTAGTCTTTTTTTTAATATTGTGTTTACATGCTGAGTACCAAATATACTTAATTGGTTTTAGACTCCCCCATGTCCTTTTCTTTCTTGTTAAGTCTACATCTCTGTCCCCCCTGTGCGCTACCTCCAGTTTCAGTTTAGTACTCTGTTGTCTCTTGTTTTTTGTTTTTTATTTTCGTTGTTTATTGTTCTTGATCAGTTTCAGCTGTCCTTGTTTCCCAGGTGTTTTCCCTCCTCCTAATTGCCCCTTTTCTATACAGTCAGTGGCGTCTTCCCATTGTTTATAGTTCTTAAATTAGTCTTTGTCCCAGCGTCTGTCTTATACCCTCATATATTCAGACTCAGGTCTGTTGTGTTGTGGCTTTTGCATTTTGGACTGTTTCAAGAACCTCATGAGGTGTCTTCTGAGTTAACTCAGGTTATGAGTCTCTTCAGTCCATTTTTCATAACATGATTTTTTTCATTTTAGTAAGCTTCACATTTTATATATTGATGGGTTGGAGGAAAATAAATCAAGCACCCATCTTTTAACAGCTAAATTTGAGCTTTTAAGTATTTAACATAACAAAAAAATAAAAAAATAAAAAGGCAGTAGTGATTGCTTTCTTTAGGCCAGCTTCTCTTCTAGATAAATTGCAGTCACTCCAAAGAAAATCTGGCATTGGAGTGGAACAGCCAGTGGAGCTCATCCAAGTGATGCTGATAAAAGCTGATCTGCACTTTTGTCAGATATTAGCTCTGCTGTTGTGCTGGTACTTTTGAGTTTATCAGACAGGCGATTCATCATTTTTTTTCCTGTTTGCCAAACATTTTCTGCTGCTCAAGTAGGAGAATATCTACAGTATGAACCAAACTAAATTCTGGTTGCTGCTTTGTATTGTTCAAGTGCAATAATCACTTTAGGGATCTAGAGTAAATTCTGAACACGAAAGTAAAAATATGAAGGAAAGGAGCTTGAGGCTGTTGCAGTCTTTGTGTTTTGAAACTGGATGCTACGAGCAAGGGGCAGAGAAAGGACATAACCTCACCCTACAGCACACCCATTATCTTCTTTTTTTGGCTTTAATAGTAATTATCATTTAAAAAATTAAAGTCAAGTTGTATTCAATGAGATATGAAACTTGCTTTGCTTTGCTTTGTCTTAGCTAATTAACAACGTCTTTAGAGATATGTGGGCCTCATAGGGTCACGTCTATGCTCGCCTTTTTCTTTTTTGTTAGGCAAAATATAGCTGATGTTATTGTGCTAATCTTTATTTAAGAAAAATTCAAGTTGGATCCTTTTTTACTGTTAATAACTGATTATCTATCTATCTATCTATCTATCTATCTATCTGTGTTCAAGCAGACTGAGTTGGTGCTAAAACAGCTCTTCCTCTGAGCAGGAGCACACTGAGGCCAAGTGTTTAGTGACCAGCTATTTTGTGCCTGAGTACCACAGCATCAGCAACCCTTCGCTGAGCAGAAGGACCCTCAGTCACACCCACAGGAAAAGCAAGGGAGCGCTGTGCCACCAGTGGCATTTATCTCATTTTCAGATTTGTTTCAGATCACACGGACAGACGGTTTCCAGCTTACGGACAAACACACACACACAAAACATCATGACAACCTGCAGGGAGAAAATCCGCTGCATGGTTAAGCTGATAAGAGACGCTGGACAGCCACGACTGCTCCAATATGTCACCAGCAAACCTGCAACACTGTGTTCATGTGGATTTTCTGGAGGTGCTTCATCTTCTTGGTGAAGGTGAAGTCTGTGATAAGATGATGACTTAGAATCTCTCAGCAAGAGTCTGAGGTTTCAGGATTTCAAATGTCCCAAAAACAGAAATGAGAAATGGTCAGGAGGGTTTCTGTTATCTTTGCCACCTTCTTATCATGTCTTGACCTTTTCTCTCATAGCCGCTGTTGACACACCACATTCATGCTACTCACACCACATCAGCAGCTGAACGAACAAATGCATGACCCACTCATGTTGTTGCACTGGTCCATGTGCACAGTGTTAACTCTGAATAGTTTCAGCTGTGTGGTTGCAGACACAAACTACTCATTAAGTGAACATTTTTCCCTAGTTGGTTTAAACTTTGTAAGTACAATAATATACACCAAGACATACAAATACAAAAATGTCGTGAGAAAAATGAATGAGAAACTGAAGAGTCATTTCGAAAACTCACTGTGCATTTATGATAGAATATGGAGATATAAAGAAGCACTCATCAAAGAAAACGTTAAAAATAGAAAAGAAGGCTAAAAGAGAAATGAAGGAAAGATCCAAAAGGTCACATTAAGCAGCTTTCATACTGTATGCTTGATATTTTCTCTATAAAGACTTTATAGGAGGCAGAGTTTTATCTACGGCAGCCAGAGACAGCTTGATCTTTAAAGGAGCAGTTTGATTTGTTTGGTTGTGCAGCAACAAAATTTGTTTTCTCTTTGAGAAGAAATTGGTGTTTTGAGACTTGCAGGGGGTTTTCTGCAGGATCCTTGGAGTCTTTTTCAATATTGCATTGCTAATGTTGCAGAAAGCAAAACCTCTGCGATATTTACATACAGTTTAATATGTGTTAATTTGAGAACTGGTGTTGAAGTGTTAGACAGTAATTATGCTTATGGTGCCGCTATCATGGTTCTGGATTCTTTTGGTCTCATTTTTATTTAGTAATCTTTTCTTTCTTTCTTTTTTTTTTTAAATACACTACCTGCGTTTATTTAACAAGTCAGTCCCCAGTATATACAGTATGTGGACAAAAGTGCAGGGCCACTTACATATTACATCTACAGGATCTGCTCATCCATGGAAACCATGCCATGAAGCTCCTGGCATACAGTTTTTATGCTGATGTTAATCCCAGAGAAGATTTGGAGCGCTGCAGTGTTTGAGTCAGCAGAGTGTTGGCAACTTTTACACATTATGCATCTCAGCAGATAACACTCTGTAACTTTACATAGTCTTTGCAATACTACTACTTTGGACCTAAGTTTTGGACTAAAGATCTAGATTGTACTCTTCTTCCTGGTGTCCTGGAATTGAGTCCCCTCCCTTTGTGAATTTTTCCAGTCATGATGTACGACCTCAGCTGGAAGGCTGCTAATACGACTGCAGACATGACTACAAACTGAAAAATCCTAACTTCATAAAAACAAAAACCCCGCAGGCGAGCTTTTAAACTCCCAGAGGACCGAGCAACAAGGTGCACAGGCAGAGAGCAAAACACTGAAATATTCATGAAAACTAAACAGTGCAGCAATTTCAGGGGATATTTAGAGGGAGGGTAAAGCTGTCGCGTCATCACAGTGATTAATTAGGAAGGGACACAGCTTGTTAAGATAAATCTATGCTGTACTTAATTAGATGACAGAAAGTGGATTATCTAAGAGGAAAGCCCTAGAAATGCATCTTTAGGGACTTGAGTGAAGACAGCAAATCAGGAAGTTTTCCTGACTTTATTAAAGTAAAATTCTTACCATAATAACAAAAAACAAAAAACAGCCTAGAATACATCTGTAACCTAAATTTCCTGCATGGACTACAAACCTTGTGCCCTGATAATGATGTAGATGGTTTCATGTTTTTTCTCTTTGGTAAGGGTTCATTAAGAAGCAAGGCTGGGTCTGATTTCAGATAGATTTAAATGGACTAAAATGAGTGTAATTCAGAAAGAAAAAAAAATCTAAAAAGTTTATTTGAACTCAACACACAACCACTGATCACAAATTTCAACACATTAATCTCTAGGATCAGAAAAAACAACAGGCAGAAACCACAAAAAAACTGACACTGAAATGTGATGCAACTAAAGTCAAGCCTTGAGATGGGATTATTTTCTAAAACACTTTTGTGGCATCATTTTTAAGTTTTTGATTAACTATTATTTAATCTTAAATAAAAGAGAAACTAAGAAGATCTTAACTTCTTGCTTTAATTTTTGCCACATGAGACTGTGGCAGGTTTAGTTCATGGAAACACTTAATTCGTAAGACATGTTTTTTTTCTCGAATGAATGCACTTTTCCCCCCAAAGTTAAATAATTGTGATCTCAATACTGACCAAAAAAATGTGGGAAAAGCTTGATTTTCAGAATTGTTGTACACTCGCTGGCCACTTTGTTACACCTGCACACCTGTTCAATTGCTTGTTAACAAAAACGTCAAATCAGCCAATCACATGGCAGCAACTCAATGCATTTAGACATGTACACATTTTCAGTTCAACCTAAAGTTCAAACTGAGCATCATAATGAGGAAGAAAGGTGATTTGAGTTTGTGGCATGGTTGTTGGTATTTCAGAAAGCGCTGATCTGCTGGGATTTTCCCATACAACCATCTCTAGGGTTTGCAGTGAATGGTCTGAAAAAGACAAAATATCCAGTGAGCGGCAGTTCTTTGGATGAAGATGCTTTGTTGGTGTCAGAGGTCAGAAGACAATGAGCAGAATGCTTCTAGCTTGATAGGAAGGTAAAAGTAACTCAAACAACCACTCGTTACACCCAGACTGGGTGGCACTCCTGTCAGCTAAGAACAGAAAACTTGCCTGGTCTGTTGAGTCTCGATTTCTGCTACAACATTTGGATGGCATAAACAATATGAAAGCATGGATCCTGCCTGCCTTGTATCAATGAATACCAAGTGAACATTGTTTAAATTTCACAGCTTAACGGGAATATTTGGTCATCCCACTATAACCATAGTGTACCCATCTTCTGATGGCTGCTTCCAACAGGATAACACACCATGTCACAAATCATCTCAAACTGTTTTTTTCCCCTGATTTCTTCAGCAGACAAACCAGCAGCAACTGTACAATCCCATCATGTCAATATGGACTCAGATCTCTCAGGACTGTTTTCAGCATCCTGCTGGATCTATGCCATGAAGCACTGAGGCAATTCTGAAGGCACAAAGGGGGTCTGTGAAAGAGCCTGAAATGCCAACCTTATTTTTTCCTCATGTTGTTGCTGTGCAGGTCAAAGCAATCATTTCTTTTACTATCTTATATGTGCCTATCTGTCAATGTGACATCATGCATTCAGACTTGCGCTGTAACAAAAGAGATAAATGTCAGACAGCTGCTGTAACGCTTCACATGCGTTCAGATACTGTTGGATTACAGGAAAAGGGTGCAGTGTGTTATGCAAGATAATGTTGAAGGGTGGATGCAAGAACTGCCCATTCAGGGTGATTCGGGTGAATTCACACTGTTCATCTGTGACCCAGCAGGTGGCGCTGTGCTCTCAGCAGAATCTGAGTAAAAGGAGGTCAACTCTAAAGGGTAGAGCTAGCTCGCTACATGTTTCCTGATGGTCTCTGGACACACACACACACACACACACACACACACACACACACACACACACACACACACACACACACAGCATGTCTCCGTATGAATTTTCATTTTTCATCTCCCTGTTTTTTATCAGTGTTGCTTTCTCTTCACAGATTCGGTTTCATCTCTTTCCTTCATGCTTTGACATCACAGATCGCCCACCAACAGGAAGATTACCTTAAAATTCACCTTATTTTTACACCCACTCTTCTAAACATCTTCTCCAGTTTTCTCTTTCAGCTTTTATACCACATCTCAGTCTCTGTTATCTATCTTCCTCACATCCCCTCAGCCTCCTTTTTTATTTTCCTCCTATACATACATTCATCACTTACAATTCACCCAACATCTCACTTGACCTCTCTTGCCTACAGTATCTTCACTGCATGTCATCAGTAATACAACTCTCCCTCTTCATCTGCAGTAATAAAAAAAACCCCACACGCATACATTTCCTACCACTAATGAGGTCCTTTAACCCCTTTCATCAATTCTTGGCGGTCTAAATGTCTTTGATCCACATCTATACATCAACTCTGATCTGTGCTCAGAGTTCTTCGACTGAGTAACTTCTAATTTACAGCATACTTAAGGACTCAGAGGACTTATGCTTTAAAGGAGGCAATAATTTACATTTCTTTTTGTTTTATCACCATGCTTGAATTCTCAACTTTATTCAGTGTATAAAGAGTTTAGCTGAATGCCTCATGTTATGAGACTTCAATTGGATGAAGTTGCAGTTTTTCAGGGTTGAATCTGGTGGTGAATCACCCTCTGAAGTTCTCCAGTTTCACATTGGAGAACAGAAAAGCTGCAGCAGTGTGATGTTAACCCTTGACACTCACCATACAATATAATTTATAGATTAGAAATGATTACAAGTTGTATTTTATTACAGGAATGATTCACTGTAGGACTAAAATTGCTTTTGGGTTAATTTGCTCATGTCAGGTTTAAAGGACTTCCTCCAGTGGAGTTAATTCCCATAGACTCGTGTGTTAAAAGTCCCATGGGGGTGGGGGGTGGGGGGTACTTATTAAGCTCACTGATCTTAACCTTTTGACTGTTTGTGGTGTTGGAGCCTTTTGGAACATTTTTCATACAATTAATAGTGTCTGAGAAATAATATGGTCTACTTAGCTTGTCTCTTACTTAGCACTAAGTAGCTTTGTTTTGAATGCTCAATTTAAGCAGAATACCTAAATATGTACCAGTCTCTTTAACATTTAAAGGTGCAAATATGGTCACGACTCCAAAACCACTGAAAAAGGAGAGTCAAAACACCACTTGATTGAGTCAAGGTGAACAGGTCTAGATCTGATTTGCTGTGGATGATATCGTGGCAAAGTTCAGCTGGTGAATTAAAACAGCCAATGTTAGCATGGAAGACCAGGATCTGAGACACGGCCTGGAGCTTTTCATGAATAGATTTCACATTGATTGGACTGGCTAAGTGCATATGTAGGTCCACATGGGTGGCACTTCAAGACCCAGATGATGTACTCTTTATGTTCATAAAATATAGTAGGAAACATCTTCTTTTTTGTACAAAAATCTTTCATGCCTACTAAATTGATGGAATTTAATATCAGGGGCACTAGCAACACACAGACCATGCTGAGTATACGTAAAGGATTCAATATATTTGGGATTTACAGTTTGGAAGTGTTTTTTTTGGATGTTTGAAATAGTACATTTGATGGCGTTGACATGTCATGATTTTTTTGTGTAAAAAAAAAAAAAGTTTGTTTGTGTAGTTGGACTTCAGCCTTAAACTCCAGGTAGGATACTGGTGACACTGGAGATATATAGAAGGTTTCTATTTTTGGACTGAACAGCTCATGTACAGTGATGTTTAGATGAAGAGAGCAGACTTTACATTTACTGTCTGTGTGAAGAAGACGTGCTGATGGTGCAGGCAGCACAGATCCATTGTTATATGACAGTTTCATTAATTTAGAATCAGCTGTCTCATACTTCCAAGACAGGTCTGGGCGTTGTTCCTTAATTAAATTGATTCCATATACAGATGTGAGAGTGTGAGAGTGTGGATAAAGGCACATTACAGCTTCTACACGTGTAATCCGGAGCGCTATATTGTGCTGGCGTTTGTGTTTCTATTTTGCCAGCCTTTGATTCATGGATTATCATTTCTTTTTGTGATCTGTTTGTGTTTTGGAGACTGAATACATTATTTCCAGATGACTGCAGCACAGGTAAATATTGCAGGTGCACTCATTGCTTGAAGCTTGCAGTAAATCTCTCATGGTGCCGCCGCTTACGGTTAGGCAGTTTCGTTACGCACTGTTGTGCTCAGCGCAGTGATTTAAAATTTATGACACGCACAATGTGATTGGCTGGGAAGAAAAAAACTCGTTGCACTTTATACTCCATTCCACCTGGCCAAAAAGGAATAAAGGAAGTCTATGCTTTAAGTGTCTCATTATGAAGTAGTGACTGCACTGCATGAACAAACAGGAAACCCACATTTTTTTTTAAAGACTCCCCAAATGTGAAAAAGAGCATTTGTCTAAAAAACAAAGTTAAATCTGTAGAAGAGATCTGACTGTTGCCTCTACTGTTATTTTCCCCAGAGACACCCAGTCTGTTTATTAGGATATAGTGGGATATACTTTAATGCTCGCACTTGACCCTGGCAACGCAGAATGACATCATCTACGATGAATAGGCTGACCTGCACTCAGAATCTGTTAAGTGTTACTCGTCTGCAGCTGTACAGCTGTTTAAAGGCATATAGTTTTTAAAATGTGTACATACAGTATCTGAAGGGCGGAGATCTTGTCTTTGAGCAGTTCCTGGGCTTTGTTGAAATCTGACAGCATGTTCTGCGTCTCCCTGCTGTGGACGGCGCTCAGCTCGGCTAGCTCCCGCTCGTGTCTCTTTGTCAGCTCCTGCTCATGAGCCCTGAGGAACGAGAAGAAGAGTCAGCCGACAATTTGAAATAGCATTTAAGATTTTTTTGCATGCAGTGTCCAACTCACTAAAATACTGCCATCACACCAAATGTGAGATGAAGTTTTCACACTGCCTTCGTACACACAAAGTCTATGCAATGAGACAAACTGACACAAATTTGCACCGGGCGATGTGAACGGAGCCAAATCTGCATTTGTACTATTTAAAATATAAAACCCATCAGCCGGGATTCTCCTGAAGCTACAGACAATCAGAAATGAAGGACAATCTTGCTGATGCCATTAAGGAGCAGCTGGAGCCGCTTCAGCTTTGCAGGACTTTCTGGCAACTTCTGAAATTATTTTACCTTAACTTAATTCCCACTATCAGTTGTGTTCCATGGATTCGATTTTAATAGAGAGTATTTTCTGGTGTATGAAAACTTGCCAGTAGTAGAAACAGCAAACAGTGAATCAACAGTCGACCTTTGAATCATAAGAGCCAACATCCTGTGGCCACAGCAGAGGTTCAAGACAAGTTTAGCTGTTTGCTGGCAGACATAGGATGTAGATAAGTGCACTTGTGGTTTTCTTGTCTCTCAGTATTGATAACTTGGGTTTGCACTGGCTATGTTTAGTGTCCGGGTGGGATGTGCCAGAGATACTGTGGCTCGAGAGTGCTAACCACTGGCCCACCATCACCATAAACATCAAATAACCATGACCTAAATAGGAGGAATAGGAGGATTCTGCCAATGCTGACTGGGTGGCAGGTGTTAAACTCATACACAGTTCTGGTTTCTGGTCTACAGGGATACAGCACACTGAGGAAGTAACTGTCTCTTCCTGTTTTTGTAGGTTTTTTTGGCATATTTGTCAACACTTACATGTCTCAGATCATCAAACAAGTCTTAATATTAGACAAAGATAACCCGAACAAACAGACATTTTCTTTGATGATCTGAAGCATGAAAACGTGCCAAGAAGGGTAGAGCGCAGATACTTTTTAAATGGTATTATAGATGCTTAGTCTCACCAACGGTGATGAAAAACACAGAATTACTTGCAATATTTTAGCTCCGTCTAACGTGATTCCGCTTTTTGACTCAAACCCAACCCAAATATCAGATCGGTGCGCCCCTACAGCACCTCAGAGCTGTTGCCAATTAAAAGAATCATGATAATGACCGAAAAAACAATTAATTATAATTGCATTATATCGCACTGTTCACTTTTAATTAACAAAAACATTAAGTATATCCCATGTTTCACATCACATCATGTTTCACTTTGCTTGATCACAATTTAAGCTCTGGAATAAAGTGCTGTTTGCTGTAACTCAGAGGTAATAGATTTATTTTTACTCTTTAATATGTGAGGTTGCACTTTAAGACTTAATCAGGTCCTGCAGACTCTCTCTCTCGCTTTGTATTTTTCTCCCAGGACGGGCAAAACATAATGGATTGCTCCAGGGAAATGTTAGTGAGATAAGAAAATCCAGAGACGGATGCACGGAATGAATTCCTAGAACATAATTTCATGACAAACACATAATTAATTTAAAATCATAATGAAACTGACATGTATGAATATTTAATAAAAAAATACTGCAAAACATGTGCACAGCAATATTTGAAGACCTGGACAAGGGGCAGGATGATAAAAGAGGATAATGAAATGAGGGGAATAAAAAAACAAAACAAAACGAGTTGATGAAAGCGAGGAGGACGATGGAGGGAGAAACATGGATGCTCGTCTGCCTCTCATTCTGACTGGGCCAACTCTCCCCGAGGGGCGCACGTCTCATCTCCCGCTCTCTGCTTCCTCTTTATTTATTTATCAGTCTATTTTTATCCCCGTGACCAGGATTCAGACGGGGCGTTACGTAACAGGAGAAGAAATGTGCTGCGCATGGGTCTGACAGCAGAGAGCGATGACGTGCATATATAAAGGCAAGCGGCACACAAATTAACAGATAATAATAATGCACCACGGGCGCATTTAAAAATACAGTGTGATGGATGCTAATGAGTAGCCGGACCACATTACTCATATAGCACTTTAAAAATTCATGCCATGCCGCAGGGACAACACGATTATAGCCCACATTTTGCATTACCCAAAATAATCTACATGTCTTCTAATCAATGGGCTCCTGACACTGGTCGAGAGACAGAGGCAGACTAAAGAGACGGATTTGCTTCTTTCGGGCTTTTCTTTCCTCCCTTTTATCTTTTGGTGTATTTTCATCACTCAGGCTCGGACAGAGAGGGATTGCAGAAACTATCGTCATCCAAATATAATAAGAGAATTCAAATTCAGACACATGTGCCGATGACAGGCCCACTGCGGGCGTTTTTGTGTGTTCTAGGCGACAGCGTGTACACGCCAAAGCTATCCTGAAATGTCACTGACAGTGTGGTGCTAATGTTTTTAAAGGAATAGTGTGACATTTTCAGGAAGGCAGCTTTTCTTCTTTTTTTTTTTGCTTTAAATGCCACATTCAGCATCATCTCAGATGGTTTTTTTTGCATGGATTAAAGAAATAAGATGTGACGTTTGTAGTTTTTTCCCCAAGAAACAAACTGTTTAATGTTGCTGTTTACTGCTCTGAGCTAAAAGTCTAGATCAGCATTTTAGGAAATATGCTTATTTACTTCTTTAATATGTATATTAGGACATTCTATTGCTTACTTATGAAGTTGAAAATTGCAGTTAGTTCAGATTAGCATGAAGAAAGCAACATCTAGCTTGGCTTTCCCCAAACTTCAAAAACGGGTATTGCCCTCAAATAAAGCAGATTTAACCAAAAGATGTATTCATTACGAAATGTGCAGAATGTGCAAACACATCATAACAGAAAACATTAATAGGCAGGATGGCGGTTCAGGTCTACCCTGGACATTTCCCTGTCCAGCATGTTCTCCCTGTACTTGCAGGGTTTCCTGTGTGCTCTAACTTTCTGTCATAGAGCAAAACCAAACATGTTAGGTCAGGATCCAGCCACACATGCCTAGAGACTAGGGCTGCCACAAACGATTATTTTGATAGTCGACTAGTCACCGATTATTTTTGCAATTAGTCCACTAATCAGATCATGCATCCATTGGACGTAAAACGTACAGCTTATTGCACCAGCATGCAACTGCTCTTATATAACTATCATTAGCTTACAGCTTTAAGTGTTTAAGGTATGTGCTAACTAAAAATGAAGACAAGATGATAGTTCATTAAATTTAAATGAAATTTGCAGATTGTTTCCGTGGAATTTAATAAACTCAGCCGTCTGCTCCTTGCTATCTAAAATATAACGGGACACCGGAGTAAATTCTCGAGCATCTCACACTTCTGATAATCAGTTGTCTGCTTGACGTTTATTCAGCTGTGTAAAAACTATAACTTTAATCTCAGCCAAACCGATTTACTCAGGAACAAATAAAATACTAAAAAAAGCCAAACAATAACATTTTTAAGTTATCTAAGTGACTTATATATGTTTAACCTGAGTAGCAAAAGACGACGGTGAGTTTGAAAACGATTTGCCGGGAGTCCGGTGTTCTCGCCGGCTCTAGTAAGCCTTGAACCCCGGCTCGCTATCAAGCTGGTGGGTAACAGACGTCTCCGAAAACGTCGGAGCGCTTTTGAAAATATGCGGTTTCTTGATAAACTGAGCAGATATTTCAAGTTTACACAGCTACATTCTCGCCCGAAAATATGTTAAACGTTTATTTTGTGACCCAGAAAATAAACGTTTGCCGCCACTGTTGGAAACTGAGCAGGGCCGTGCTATGAATTCTGGGATAGGTTGGGCCCCGAAGCAACCAATCCTTCAAATATGGGGAAGGGCACATTTGTTGGCCGCATTTGTCGGAGTCTTAGAATTTGGACAGTCTTCGTCGTGTCGCTGTAACATAATCGGCCTACAAATGCAGGCACAGGAGGATGCGCTTCCAGAATTTGAACACAGCTGCGATACCGGACACTGCTTCTTCTTCTTCGGGGTTTAATGGCAACTGTCACATGTCAGTTGCGGTGGTAAGATCTAACTTTTTCTTCGAAGGTAAACCTAGCTTTCTGCTAGTAGTTGGCATCCATGCTAACCACCAGTAACCACAGCAGACAGCTAATGACCAAATCAACTTTGTGATTGATTTCACATTACAACATCCAGCAAACACTCGACTGGTCTCTAGGTCTGTGCGTCCGAGGTATGTTATATGTGGGTGTATTAATGAATGTGCCTGAAGTGGTTTGAGTACTAAGAAAGACTAGAAAACCACAATATGAATAAATGCCAACCCACATAACAAGCTTCTAAGACTGATTATGAATATTGTGAACACATGCCAGCTTTGCTTTCACGCTCAGCTCTGCAGATTGTGCTTCAACCAAAACCTAAATTCCTCATTTTTAAAAGTCAAACTCAAAATTGATTCAACAGAAGATTCTAAATGGAATCTGAACCGTGCACTGTAACTGCTTACTGCCAAAAACGGACACAAAAAGAAAGAAAAATAAGGCACTCAAACAACCATCGCTCTAAAATATTCAGCAGTTTGGTTGCTAGGTTACAGTAAAGGATAAGCTTCACTGTGAAGATGCAGTTTTGTTTTTTTCTTTTCTGTGTTTTTGAGATATTTGGACGTGCATGTGTGTGAGAACTGTTCAAAGTGCAAGTTTAACGATTCATTCTTCGGCCACACAGAAACATGATACAAAAGAAAAAAAGAGGCATATTCAGAGGAGATCAGTCACAAAGGTAGAGGATTAAGCAGTCTAATGTAAATGCAGCAAACAGTAACTTAATGTTGACAAAAAGAAAACAATGTTTAGTTAGACTCTGGAGCGGTAGACGAAACCAATTTGCTGTGAACGTGTTGAGAAAACGCGTTTTTCCTCCCTGTGAAGTAAAGTTTGACCGCAGGTTTTCACTTCAGTGCTACACAATGAACACTGAGTCATACCGGATCTGCTGATTGGCTTCACTGCGGATCTTGAGCACCTCCTTGCCCTTCAGCTCCAGCTCTTTAGTCAGGGTGCTGATGTTCTCGTTGAGCGTGTGGATTTGGTGGTCCAGCTGAGCGATGTGGTTCTTCCTCCTCGTCACCTCCTCCTGCAACTCGGAGATCCGGCCCAACAGCTCGCGTTCCTGTGAAAAGAGAAACAATAAAAATCAGCTCTGAAGAGATGAAGGACGTAAAGGTTTAGCTATAAGGCTTGTAATGTTGATTTTAAAGCTTATCTATATGGTAGAATATTTTGGAAACTACACTTTAGAATTTTTTAAAGTTGGTTATTTCGAACATGTTTAACACCTTGAGAATATTTTTTAAATCCACCATTAGGGTGAAACTTTTCAGATGAATAGGTGAATGCTGAACACAGCTGAATGAACAAAAATGGCTTTACCACGATGAAGCAATCATCCATCAGTGCACACAACGCAGATAGCAACAAAGCCTCTTAACGAATATAGTGAACAGCATTTTATCTTAAGTCCTAAATTTATGCAGGACTTTGAATCAAGACACATAAGCCAGATTATTTAATTGTCAAAACCCTTTTCAATGTGTCCATAATTTCACATCCTTAAGAAGCTCACAGAGCCGAATTACAGCTTTTATCAAAAACTGAACATATGTTTTGACATAAGTCTGTTGTATTTACTGTATTTTCTCAAAAAGCAACAGAGACTATTTATCTCAAAAACAGAAGACTTGCAGCATCTTGTATTAGAGGCAGGTTTGGTATTTCTCACAAACTGTTCAAACCTTCTGTTTGCAGACAAAAGTTGGCTTAAAGGGAGAGAAGCTGTTTATTTCAGACAGTGGATTAATCGAAAGGTTGCAGCACTATAAGATTAATAGGGGTTATTTTGAAGTGGGAATCGCACAAAGCCACTTTCGCAGAGTTCAGGAAAAAAAACAGAGGTGGAAAGGAGCATATTAGGTCCTCTTTAAGTAAATTTACTTGTTTCCTCAGGTAAAGTCACTGCATGATACTGTTAAGGCAGTATTAAGCTGTGACCCCTCTTAAAATAGATCAGAAATAAATGTTAGATTGCTAAATTCTTTGAACAACAAGCAGCACACCAGTGCCAAAAGTATTCGCTCAGCTTTCCCACACATATGAACTTGACTAAAATCCCATTCTTAATGTCGGCCAACCATTTGCAGCTATGACAGCTCCAACTCTTCTGGGAAGAGTTGGAGAAGAGTTTAAGATGACCAGTCTTTTAGAAGTGCATTTATGAGATCAGATGCTGATGTTCACTGAGATGGCCTGGTTTGCATTCTCTGATCTGATTGATAGTAAATGGTAAATGAACTGGTTCTTATATAGCACTTTTCTACTTTGAGTACTCAAAGCGCTTTATACAACTTGTTCATTCACCACACCCATTCACTTTTCTAAGTGCTATCTAACTACCATTCATACATACACATTCACACACACATTTTTGGGTTGTATGGAAGCCCCAAACGCAATTTCATTGTTCTTGACAATGACAATAAATAAATAAATACTAAATAAATACTAAATACACTCCGATGGCTGCATCGGAGAGCAACCTGGGGTTAGTATCTTGCCTAAGGATATTTGGCATGCAGACTGGGATTGAACCACCAACCTTCCAGTTAGTAGGTGACCTGCTCTACCACCTGAGCTGCACAAAGTTGCGAGCATGAAGTTGTACAAAGTTTCTTGGTAGCTGAAGTATTAACAGTTCCTTTAACTGGAACTAAAGGGCAGAGCAAAACTCCTGAAAAACAAGCCCAGACCATAAACCCCCTCTGCCAAACTTTACACAGATTTTCCATCGGCCTTCCATTTATTTGGGCTCAGGACACAACTTAACACTTCCTGTAACTCTTTCAAATTAAAAGCCTTAGTGTTTCTTCTTACCACAGCTTTGCAGGCATATACAACAAACACTGGAGAGGACTGTTCCTTTAGCTTGCACATTATAGGCAGCCCTTATTTGGTCACTTTGTCCACAGAGACATCTAAATCCTCCACTGGTTTTCATTTAAGGATACACAGTGATTTCCAACTGTGCCACAATAAGCTGAGTCCGTGTAAGGTTCTTATTTTGTCAACTTACTTGCATTTTGCAGCCAGTGTACTTGGGGAAACAATGATCTATTAGTTCTTTTGGGCCATAACAGTTTGTTTATGACTGATAAAAGCAACTTAATAAAATCAACTTAATAAAACTTAATAAAATCCAGTAGAGAACTCAAGCTGTTGAACCAGGTAATTTAACTGACGAGTATGGCAAAAACAAGATTTCAGTCATTATGGGAGAGACGAGATTCATCTGAGCTCTGATAATACAACAGTGCTGTAAACTACTGAATGACTTCATGTAAACATGACCAACAACTGAAATTACTCACGACCGCCTGCCGAGCTGCTCTTTTCTTCTGAGCTCCACACTGACACAAGAAGCAGCTCGATTCTGTCGCATTTTGAAAGTGAGAAAATGAGCAAGTGATTTTCCCAGCAGGGGTGCGGTGAACGACGTGTAGGTTCAACCAAACAGTGGCATAAAAAAACCCAAAAAGAACAACGCAGCCTGTCTGCATTTACGAGTCCATTATTGGAACATGTGACTCACAGCTTCGCAAACTTTAAGAAGTATTCCACTTTCTGTTGTTTGTTAATAGGGAGCTTAAATTTCTTTTGTATACAGTGCATGAACTGAGGGGGTGCATTGAGGTCTGGTATAAGATAGAAAAGGATTATTTTGAATAGTGCATAGCTACTCTGATAAAGTCATAAGGTCAGTTGCTGCGATTTATCCTCTTTGTAGCTCTGAATATCATCTCAGATATGCCTGAAAATGGTAAATTGATCTGTGCCTGTAAAAGGTGAACTTTAAAGAAACAATGACACCTTACTATGTTACTTATTTCACTGTTATATAAATATATATATATAAATATATATATATATATATATATATATATATTTACACACACACACATACATACACACATACATACATACATATATTAATTGTCATCTCTCATTTGGGTGTTTCTATTTTAGTAACTTTCAGTTTTATGTTGACTGTCATTTGTCTCTGATGTGTTTTAGACACAAGAGACTGCTTCCTTTCTCTCATTGTCCTTGATTAGTTTTGGCTGTTCCTTGTTTCCCAGGTGTTTCCACTCCTCTGATTAGTCCTCATTGGTCTCCTTGGTGTTTGTTCTTAGAACTTTGGCATCTCATCTAATAAAAGGTTGATTTTAAAGATTACAAAAAAGTTTATTTGTCATCATGGAGCATTTTGTGTTGACTGATGAGGTGAAAAAATGAGCTGAATCCATTTTCAGAGGAGCCTGAAACACTGAAAGAGATCTGAAACCTTTCTCAAGTCATTGTCATTAACATACTCAACTCTGAAATTCCCGGGAGGTGAAATGGGCCTCACGTGCCAAACATTTCATTACGTTTGGTGACTTAAATGAAGAAGCAAGATGTGATCTGAAGACTCTCAGTTGAGTGCCACTTAACACCATCAGAATTAGATTAAACACTGTCACGTTATCGTCTACTAATGATTCCTCTCCCTGTGAAAAATCTAATTTAACTTGGCACTATAACAATTTGTGCCAAGGACTGTGTTCACATATCCAGAAGCCATAATCTTGTATAATAGCTTCATATTCACAAACTACTGTCTATTTGCATCGCCATCTGCATTTTCACTTAATGTAATTGGCTGTTTTTTTTTTTTAAGTCCAAAACCTTCAGTACAATCAAGCACAATGGTGATCGCCCAGATGAGTCTTTAATGACCAATTTACTCATTTTACTCTTCATCTCATCCAAATCTTGGCTGGCGTTGGAGCAGGAGATGAAGGGAAATTAGGAAAGAAAGCTGGCAGAATTAAAGAAAGAAACAAAGGCTAATTGGAAGAGCATTTATCGAATGATATGGGACATTATAACTTAATATACTCTTTCAATTACAGCAGATATCAGCCTTTGATTTCACAACTGCGGAAGACGAGATAAAATTCCCAGTGTTGGGCTCGTTTGGGGGAGAGATTTATTTACTTTTGCATCTTGTCTGAGTTGATCTATCATCTTTTTTTTTGTCTGCTTATCTGCTGTCTCTCTCTTTTATAATCTAATTTTATCCTCTCTTTCAAACACCTCAGATATAATATGTGAACAGCGCCGTAAAGGAGATCGCTTTGTCATTCTCTGTTTTGCCTAGTTCTTCTTTATCCTTCTTTTCCTTAAAAAATAAACTTTTCAAATAATAATCAAAAAGGACATTACAGTAAAATAGAGTGTGATTTCCTGAGCTACTTTATTTTTCAATGGGTATTAGTAGTTAGCCAATGAAATCCCATGAACTGCTGCCATGAATACATATTTTTATTCTCAGGGGAACAATGCTGTGCCCCAGTTTCTAAACAGTGTGTGAGTTATTTGCTTTGTTATTCCTTTAAATGTGCTTTTTTGTTAGTTTTGAGTTCTTTACTGTCTTATTCATAAGTGTATCTGTGAATTTTAACAGTAAAGCCTTCACTTTTAATTCCTCCTTTCAGCGGGACAAAGGTGGTTCGTACTGTTGCTGTAAAATATGCTGGCTGTCATCATGTTTATCCAGGGCTGCCAACACTAATATGGGAAATATGCCACTTTTCTGCCTGTCACAATCTCAGCTAACCACTTCATATACAATTCTACCAAACTGTTAAGAACACATTGCTCCAAAAACCCATGGCTCCATGAGAACAGAACCATAGCGGGGAGAAAAATAATACGAGCGATAAAAGGAAACAACGGTTCTCTGAAGATGCTTTAAATCTAACAATGAGGAAGAAAACAAATGTTCTCATGTGTGCTAGAGCATCATCATGACCACAACAATACAATCAAAGTGGACCGGAATAGTTATTAAAAGTCAAGAGATACTGATGGCAGGGTAATTCTTCAGACAAGACTGTTAGATCAAACATGATAAATATCTAGACAAGGATAGATGACACTGTGCACACAAAGACCTGCGCACACCTCTGCACTCCATCAGCCTCTCCCTCCCCATCTGTTAAGTAATTGGAGGTACAAAAGCATTATTTAACACAGCGTGACGCCCGTCTGCCACTGAGCTCCTCCGCTCTATTGACTCAACTCAGGAAGTTTTAGTTTATGTTCCATTAATGCCTCAGCAAAGTAAACAAGGAATTATTGTAAACACAGACTCCCACTGATGTTGAATTTAAATGTAAAACAAAATGTTTAAAGGCAGACTTTTAACATTATTAAATCCCAGGACCTACAGCATGGACAGAAATGTCCATTACTAAAGCCCCATTCAAGCAGGCCCAGAGAACCCCTAGCAACCAACAGTAACCCAGTCACCAGAGAAAAGTGTTATTTCCTGACAGGTTGGTGAGTGGTGGAAGTCGATATCTTCCATGGAAATTATAGATCTACTAATAACTAAAGCTGCTTCTTTCCACATGACTTTACATGGTTAACAGTTAGCAACAGCTTGCTAACTGTGAAAACATACTTGTGTGGCTCGATGCTCCCGCAGTAATCAAGTCTCTGGGTTTAAATCTGATGATTGTTTAAAGAGTTTGCAGAGGTGATAAAGAGGAAGAGGTCTTTCTCTTTTCAAAGGCCTGCAAAAATGGCTTTTTACTTTTTTCTTGTTAAACAGTTACCAATGTAAATTAGATTATTATCCTACTACTATGTAGGAAAGTATGAATGTCAGACTTTGTGTCTAATTGTGATTTATATTCAGGAATGGGCATTCTCTGGCATTATTAATTTCATTGCTCAGTTCATCTGCAAAACAAAAACACTAGAGAGATGACTTGCAGGGAGTTGGTAACGCATTCGACATAAAACAAGAAAAATATCAAGAAAAAAATGAGCCGACAAATATTTATTTGCCCCCTGTGGATCCAACCTTCCATCCAATGAAACTCGTCCAGTGGGTGTTTCCTCAGGAAAAGAAAATATTGAGCAGCTATGTACATCGCTTTGTGAGCAGCACATCAACTTCTTCGTCTGAGCGCGTAACTTGGATGTCTTTATGGATCTCAGAGGACCAAATAATAAATAAATAAATCTTCGGATGCAAGAAAAAAGGCAGAACACAGTGATGTAGAAATCTACGAGAACCTGACCCTTGTCTCCTGTAATCCATGACATCAGAAAACATGCTACTTTTTCAGTCATTCATTTTGAATCTTTTTAAATAAAATATGATGATAATTTTGCAAATCATGGTCCACATTGTGGTCAAAAACAAGAATAAAGGAGAGTTTGCTTTACCTCATAGCTGACTGCTAGTTGACCACCCCTCGCTTGTCACATTCAGTTTCAAATTACCAGAGTGAAAACAGTTTGAGGCTTTAAGACAGATCCTCACTAACAGGTTGATGATGTCATAGTGGCCGTGTTGACTGAACACGTAGTTACATTTCTTGGGAGGTGTGTATCAGGTTAGATGGGAGGTTACGGCACAGGTTTAAGAGGGGGTTCTGCTTATCTCTGAAGTCATGCCGTACATTTCCAGCTGAAGCATAATTCAAACATCACTGCTTGACTGGCAGGTAGTTGAGACTGTAACGTGTGCCTATTAGCTTTAATTGCCCTCCTGTTCTCTTTGTGACTAAAGAGGGAGTAAAGGTGGGGTGTGTGCACGTGTGCATTTAGGGGGTGCATAGTGGCAGTATTAAAGAGAACCAGCTGTGTGTCTCTGCTAGAACATCTGTATCATAAGGTGATGAGAATGGAACTCACTGTGCTGGGGGTAATTAGAAAGATTTACAAGTGGTGCTCAGAGGGCTGCCTGCAGTGTGGTGTGTGTGCTTGTGAGCAGGTGGTATATGATGCTGGTAGCATCATTTAACATTGACTCCATCCCACTGAATTTCTTTGATTTTGATTTCTTTGAAAGTAATTTTGTTTTTAGAGGACTGTGCGACCTAGATTACTGCATTAGTGTCTGAATGTTTTATCACTTATTTTGTATTTGAGCATGAGCTGTATACTGAAGATAGATGGTGGCTGATCAATCACGGCTTCACCAGCTGATTAATGAAGTCCTGTTCTGAAGCCTTGAGTTTTGCATTTTGGCCACCACCACGTTGGTGTGTTGGAAGAAGAAGCGTCCATATTTTGACATGATGGTGGATTACAGAGTTAACGATAACATGCTTCACACAGACATACAGATGTCTGCTAGTTAGTTAGGTCTAGCTAACAGACTCGATACCTCTATGAAGTGGGAAATTAACAATCGAGACAAAAACCAGCCTATAAAACATGTTTTACTGCAATAAAGTTTCCATAAAGGAGACTATAAAGACCCGTGTGTCAAGTGCTCATTTGAGGAAGTGCAACTTTTGGCACTTCCTTATGGCCCATTTATCCTCACCATGCAAACTGTGCCAGATGAAAAAAGCGACATCATATACAGAGGGCGATGTTGCAAAAGTCTGAAAAGAAAAAGACTTGCTACTTTTTTCTCCTCTTATACCAGCGCTGATGTGCACACTGTGTCTGAGTGGAGACACTTATCGTAATGTGGGGACTATTTCCTCCCTCAGTGCTGGTATAAGTGGTACGGAGCTGAGGCGACGTCACTGTTTGCAAACAGACCAATGTAGTGAGCTTAACCGAGGCTGAATTCTTCAGCGCTAAGAGTATCTATTTGCTTTGGACATGAACACTTTCTTGGGCTGTAAAAATTTAGTATATACAAAAAAATAAAAGTAAAAAGCTTCCACAAATCAAGGCGACACCTATAAATTGCTCATTTTTGAGTCAATAGGTAAAGCTGGAGCTGGTGCATAGTCAACATTTCCTCTTGAAATGCTCCTTATTTTTTAAGCACTTTTAACATTGATCCAGCTTGTCCTCAATTATTTTTTTGTTGCTCAAGTAATCAATTATATGACTAATCACCTCGATGTAACCTCAGGCTAATTTAAAAACTTGGTGAAATAAAGAAAAATCCATAAAAATATCAGCAGCCTGTGGCTTTGATCCAAATTAAATGGCTCACCGGTGCACATAAGTCAAGCCGGGTGTGTATGACAGGAGAATGTAATACTGTGTGCGTCTAATCTTCACTGTGGCCATGGAAGAGAGAGAATATGGTAAAGTGTTTTGAGGATTCATCCTTCACTGGATGCCCATTCATCACATAGCTTTGTTGCTCGTGGTGCTGTGGTGGCGGTGGAAATGAATGTGGTTGGAAATGCTGTTGTGATAAGCCAGCCCGTCTTCAGTAAGTCTCACAGTACCTGTGTCCGGTTATTCTCGATCGTCTTCTCCAGCTCGGCCTTGGCGGCGGCTGACTCGTGCTGGTGGGTTTGTCTCAGGTGTTCGATGGCTGACGCGTGGATGTGGTTCAGCTCCGATCGCAGAGAGGCTGATGGAAAAATATGATCGAATACACGAATGTCAGGAGGTCACATTTTATTTGCACAGAGCATCACGCACATGATGAAGCAAAGCTAGTCTGCATATTTCAGATTCAGACTTACTCAGAAAGCTCCTTTCAGCCTTTTGTCTATTTGCAAAAAGAGCTCATTACATCCAAAGGCATTCTTACTACATTACTTTTTTCCCCCTAACTTTGCCTATAAAGAGAATGTCTCTGCTGCCTTTACCCGAGTGGCCTTTAATCCTCACTTCAATGAACACCTTTTATTGCAAACAGTCTAATGGCTTAGAGAAGCATGGTGAGGGAACACACTGCTATTAGCTTTGAAAGACAAAAGAAGAACAAAGTCACGAACTGCACATGATTTCTCTCTGCAGTTCAAAACCAGTCAGAAGACGGGCAAACAGAAAGAAACAGAACATGCGAATACACACGTATGGGGATACGATAGAAAAAAAGGTAAGAGATATAAGGAGGAACAGGTAATAAAATAATATTATCGCTGGAGCCTGCCAGTGTCAGGACCATGACATAGAGGGTAATGGAAGACCATTTATCACAGCACAGTACTGGTTTGTCGGCACCAAATATTTGGTGAGGTTGAGAATTTACTTCACTTATGTGCTTATATGATTTTGTTAGACTTTAGATCCTTGTTGATGTTTCATTTTACTCTGTTGTCCCTACACTGCATTATAATGAGAAAATAATAAAGACCAGATGTTTCTCCTGTCAAATAGCAACATTAACGTAAGACAGAGAAATGTAATAATGTAGTCTGTGATGAAAGAATGTCTGTCTACAGTCATGTAGAAAACATCCATATGTCTTGCGTTCTGAAATTACAGCTATTATTCACGGAAATGCCATTTCTATAGCACCGCGGTGCAAGACCAGCTATCTAAATGCGCTTTAATGTTGTTCTGCAGTGGGGAGGAAAGACTGTCTTTTGACAGAATGAGATCAGACCCGGGCTTGAGGAGGGGTGGTTAACTGCCACAATCGATGGGGATGGTTAATTGAAAAGAGACGACAACCGACAAACAGGACAAAACACGAACTGTGAGCGAGCAGGCAAAAATGATCACCCATCATTCTACTGCATGACTTTCCCTCGGACCCAATTCTGAGTGTTTTATTGAAACAGATATCTCCCACAGCCGTCCTTTTTCACTTCCGATGTTTTTCCACTAGTTGGAAAAACTCCATGAGGTTCGGGGGAATGAGCCGTCTGAACAGAGCGTGGAGCAGGCAGTAAACATGACCAAGACTCACTAATGGTGAACGGACCAGGTTACCAGCTGCTAAAGTCCAACACGTTCTGACATTAACAGAACGTTGCCAGGGAGCTGGAAAGTTACAGATTTGTGTCCTCACAAACAAAACTGGCTCAAATGTGTGATAATGTGACCTCATCTTTTCCAACTGTTCTCCGTCTGCACCAGCTGGGAAACCCTGAGCTGTGCTGATGTATCACAGAGAGGCCTGTACATGTATATCTCACAAAACTAAAATACTGTGAAAATCTTCATTTTTTTCACTTTTTAATTTAAACGGGTAAACTTTTATCTATTCTATATAGATTTACACATTTAAAATGAATAAATTAATACTTTCTTTGTTTTAATTTTGATTATTATGGCTTAGAGCTAATGAAAATCTTAAAATATCTTAAATTATTTCATTATTTCATTTGAAGTTTGAGTAAATAAAAATTTAAACAGTATAAATACTGCATGATTTTATGCTTCATCTGCTCACGTCCTTTACAGAGATGCTGATTTCTTTTTCCAGTTGGACTTGCTCACAGTGCTGTCTGTGCTCCATTCGTCAGCCAGCTCACTTTTCAGAAATTGGACAGTTTTGTATTTTGAATCCTTTTTTGATAAAAATGAGAAAATGTTACGATAAAACTTGTGATGGATTTGTGAGTTTTTTTCATGAGCTTTAAGCCAAAACCAAATCAAAATGTATAAATATTTAATAAATGGAGAATACATGAAAGTATAAATCCTGAAACAACTAACTTTTTCCTGGACCTTCATATTATTGTAGATGCACTAGTACAGATGGACCCTGTCGCACACTTTTGCCTGCAGACTGGGGTCAGGTTACAAAAATTGGGGGATGCCAAAACAACACTGTGTGGTCTGCGGCTGCAGAGGAGGCGTGGTGCAGTGGGTTCAGGGGCCAATGCCCGGGAGGCTGGGAGGGCAGCTGGGGCTGATTGGCTTATTAGGCTCTCCGGTGATCAGGAGGTCGCTGGGACCGGAGGAGAGAGTTGCACCGGGAGTTGGTAATCTCACTAGAGACACCGACCCTGTGACATTGTACACGTGTTGGGTCCTTTTGCCAAACTAAAGCTCACAATGCATTTACATTTCAGAGAAATCCAGTTTAAAATATATTTTTTGAAAAATAATTGTGTTACATATTAGAGGATAAAATATTAGCCACAATAAATGTGGCAGCCCTAATTTTCCCTTTAAGTCCTTCACTGCCAGTATCTTCTTTCACTCAAGACTTTCTTCTGAAATACATGAATCTGTTTAGCCCCTGCTGCATTTTTTCCATTTGGATTTTTCTGAAATAACCACCAGGAATCCATATTCATAGGTGTGTGAAGTCTCCTTTATGTAGACACAAATCAGCTGCCACAGGGTGTGTTTGAGGGTTTCATAAATGACTTCCACTTAAGGCTGTATATAGTCTGGAATAGCACTTAATGTGGCAGTGTGAAAACAGAGCGAGACAGGGGGGAGGATCTCATGGCTGAATTGAAGTCCTGCCAATAGTCTCATATTCAACCTACAAGTTTAAACACAAATATATTCATATTTGTGTTTAAACTTGTCGGTTCTACTTAAACATTCTTCTGTTCTTTCTATAGTTTCAGCTCAAACTGAAAAATCACTGCAGACTGAATAAAAGCTCTCCAATCAAGGCAAAATATACTTAAAATTCATGGGTGGGTTAATCTGTTTTTATGTATGCACCCACACACAAAGACAGAGCAACCAAACACACACACACACACACACACACTTTACCTAACATGGCTTTGCCCTCATCCTCCAGTTCAAAGCGGAGCGTTTGAAGCTCCTGTTCTGACTGCTGTTTGAGCGTCTCGATGCTCTGGCGGTGAGCCTCTCTGAGAGACTGCAGCTCTGCATGGTGATGGTGGCGGAGACGCTCCTCCAGGTCCTGATGGAGAGATGAGACAGGTGGGTAAAAAAAGGAAACAGAGGAGGGTGAAAGAGAAACAAAAAGAGGTCAGGAAAACAATTAGAAAGAGGGAAATGGAGGAGTGGGAGGACCAGAGGGAGACCAGCGACAGGAAAAATGCAAGAAAATGAACAGTATAGGAGGAAATGATGGAGTGGGAGGGAAAAGTAAGAGGCAAGAGGGATAAAAACAATGAAATGGAACAGTGAGCAAGAAAGAAAGTAAAAGAAAACAATTTTATTTAAAATCCTCTATGAGCTAAAGGAGAAACTGACCACTGAAGCATCAAGAAACACACCATTTATGCTGCAGACTGCACAAATCGGGGTCACCTTCTATGTCTGAATGCATCATAGTGCACACGCTATTTTCTTACATTTCTTACATTTGAAATATCAGAAAAAATTATAAGTCACTCTGCTCTGGAGATGTGATATTAAAGAACGCGCAGACAGTTTTCTCCGTCATATTTCAAGTCTCATAAACACTTTTCCTAGAAGGTTTGCCGTTCCTGTCCAGAAGTGCTTCATATTCATATTGCTGCATATTTCCATCTGCTTTGGATGCTGGAAGATCGTTCTGGTTGCCATTCGTTTGCATGAAAAAAAACATCCTGTCTGCAAACACTTGCCAACTAGCTACTGAACTTGGAAAAGTGCGGCACACCAGAACTAAAGTGTTCACCGTCACTGAACGGCGTGCTTTATTGGTGCAACCAGCATGTTTCAAAACACCCAACTTTCACTTTGAAGGCAGACAGTCTTTGTTTTCTGTTTGTGTCACACTGCTTAGGTATTACATCACTATTTTAATGGCAGATACACAAAGCTAAGGTGTCCGTCGGGATATTAGGCATAAAAATGGATTGGCGCATCCCTGCTCTTCATCCTTCTGCATGCAAACATGGAAATCTGGAGATGGGATAGAGGTGGGTTTCTAAGAAGCTTGCAGATATATCCTGAAAGATCTGACAAATGGATGTTAAGAAGAGTATCAGGCAATTTCCCAGGATTGGAGCTCACATCATGTCCTGCTGGAATTAATTAATTTATGGTAACCCTTCAAAAAACCTGTTTATATTGACACAGAGAGAAAAACTGAGTGATGTGCCATCAGATTCTTTTGATAATTTTGCTGTTGTCGTGCTATGAAGAAGGAACAGGCACAAAGACATTAATTAGTATTTAGGCTAAAGGCACCAGAGGCAGTCTTTGTGTACACTTCCAATTTTCAGCTTTTCTGGAAACTTTTTGTCACATTCAGCATCTGAAAGCAAGAGTCTCGACTATTTAATTAATAAAACAATAAATATGTTCATTTTGTTTCGTTCAGCTCTTTGATTTCCACTTTAGTTTCCAAACAAGAACTTAAACAGTTTAAACAGAAAAACATATTTGACTATTAGCAAAAACAACTGACAAGCATACACAGCATTAGCATCATGCATTAGCACTGTTTACTGGAGGGTTGCCACAAAACAAACACACACACACACACACACACACACACACACACACACACACACACACACACACACGCACACACAGTAACATCAGTGAAGACCTACTAATGTTACGCTGCTGGCAGCTGAGTGTTTACTCTGGCAGGAAAAGGCTGTTTTTGATGTGTGAGTATCCACACTTTGTGCCTTTCTAGCAGCAGTTTATAGGAAACATGCTTTTACTTCTTTGAGAAATAGTCAGCGCTGCTGTTGCTGTCAGGATTTGACGTCTCTGTGTCAAACGGCCATTAAAGTGTTTCTGCAATCTATCAGGAGCCTCATTTCTGTTTCCAGAAAGCAGTCCTCTAAAGTTATCACTGAGATTACACACACAGGGTACTACTTAAGCGCTGTTTTTCAACATGCAGGTATAAGTTGGTACAATATGACTTCTTTAGAGATTAACAGTAGTCATTGTCAAGGCTTTTCTAAGCTTACAAAGGTGTTTATGATGATGATACCTCTAATTTACAGAAAGTAGCCTCCACCTAAACTACTTCTTTTGGCTTTAACTGCAGGGATCACCATAGTGGACTGTCTGCCTCCATCTCACCCTATTCCTAGCATCCTGCTCTGTCACACCAACCCTCTGCATGTTCTCCTTCATGACATCCACAAACCTCCTCTGAGGTCTTCCTCTTTTCCTCCTGCCTGGCAGCTTCATCTTCAACATCCTTTGACTAATATATCCACTCACCCTCCTCTGTACATGTCCAAACTATCTTAGAGTCACCTCTAACTTTGTCTCCAAAACACCCAACCTGAGCTGTCCCTCTGATGCACTGATTTCTAATCTTGGTCAAAATCGCTCAACAGTCCATCATCTAATCTGAGAAACTCCAGTGCGTCTCTCTAAAACCCAACTCTTGAACTTAATAAAACTTTTAAATGCTTAACTGTCTGATTAGATTTTTGGTTGCCAGATGCATTTGGTAACACTCTATGTTCAGAATAGAATTTCAGTCTTGATGTCAAGCCCCAAGAAAATGGTCAAACCAATGAGGGCAAAAAATGTAAAATAAAGATGAGAACAATACAAGTGACTTTTTAATTTATCAAGAACCTCGATATAAAGTGTTAAATGTTCTTTCCAACTCTGGACAAACCACCTAATGATCTTTGTCTAAAATGGTATCAAGATAACTAACCCAGCATGACAATAAATAAGGAAAACGTTGATACTTTTTCTATCAGCAGTCGTGAAATATTGGATGACGGTCAGATCTCATTTGCATTGTTGCACAAAGCATTAAAGCACACCACGGTTCACACTGAGTTTAGCTCGTTTTTCTTTGTCAGTGAAATGTTCAGGTGCCATTTTGTAAATTTTAAACCACAATCCATCAGCGAGAATGATCTAAAATGATATTCAAATGAGGCTGACAGAAACATCTGCATTTTGATTCAGCAGTGTGTAATGCCTTTGGGAAATGATACATGGATTGAAGAGATGCTTGAATATTGAAATGAGGCTCGCTCTGAGTTGGCGGACAGCAGCCCTGGTTATTCAGTGTTCGATGGGGCTCCCATGCTGTTTTTATGGTAACCCTTCAAAAGCACCAAAAGCAGCACAGTGCATTAATGACATCAGAAAGAAAAAAGAAAAGAAATAACTGCTATTTATAGTGGATTCAGTCATTTATCTGCTATAACAGGGCTCTCTGTTTTCTCACGATGAAAAGCTGCTTTATATTTTACATAATTTTCCTATTTGCACTTTAGAATCACATTAAGTCCTAAAAAGATAACGTAACAATCCTCAGCAACTTAATAAAAGGCAACATTATTCTGATTAATCTCAAACACAGTCAGAGTATCAATGATGAATGAATCCAGTGTGATTTAATCCACTGCGTATGGAGTTCACATGTTGATGCCTAAAATTTGATGTTTTGGTTGCCACCACAGTTTCTTTTTTCTACCAAATCTACCAAACAGAAACCAACCACACAAACAAGGGACATAAAAGTCTGTATCCAGACTAGGGATGGGTACCGGTATCCGGTGCCATAATGGCACCGGTTCTGACATAAACGGTAGTAACCAGACCGAAAAGCAGCGCACATTTCGGTGCTTTGTTTTTCCTCAGCTGAGATACACTTTAGATTCTAGCCAATCATTTTACGTTTCCGAGGATAGTAGGCGGGCCCAGGTACGTACGTTCTTTTAGAGCAGAGCTACAGATTAAAAATGCCCAAGGTGAAGCGGTCAAAGTCTGGCTGTACTTCACAGCAAAAGATGCAAACTCAGCAGCCTGCAACAAGTGCTTTAAGGTGATACTGTGCAAAGGAGGTAACACCTCGAATCTGATGAAACACCTGGCGACACATAGCGGGTTTTTTTTTTTAAAGCCGAGAAATGCACCGTATTTGATAGCTTGCTGCAAGACCTCACACCGAGCACATCTACTGTGGGTGTGGTGGCTGTTATCGACCCGGAGTTAGCAACATCCCCCAAGAATCCGAATAGTAGAGTCCTGGCCCCTAGCCCTGCCAGTGTAGCAGGAATGATGAGGATGATGATGGCAGCAGCAGCCGTTCTTCTCTGGGTGAGTCGCTTAATGTTGTTCGTGTGTAATTTACGTTGAGTAGGCTAACCACGTTATTAAATTAATGCATGTAAGGTGAACTAGCAAACACCGTCATAGTTACATGCGGCTGTCTTGTTTGATGGCAGATGCTCCCTCTACCCTGGCCAAAAAGGCTAAAATGACCAAAGAAAAAGTGGAAAACGGCTAAACGTGAGAGGTTTTTGGACAAAATTTGTTTTTTCCATTGTTTAAGCACTGCTTCCAGCCAAGAGTGATGCCATAAATCCCCTATAGCTGCAGAAAAGGCTAACATTGTTATCTTTTCACAAAAAAACAGCTGAACACGAGAGGTTTTTGGACAAAGTGTGTGTTCTCCATTCTTTAAGCACCGGTTCGAGCACCGTTTAAAAAGTACCGGTTTGGTACTGGTATCGGATAAAACCTAAACGATACCCATCCCTAATCCAGACCAATGAACTATAAAACAAATTGACTCGCTAAACAGCTGATGTCAAACTATCCACCGAAGCCAAAACCATTTTTGTACTAACTTGAAAACATGTTTGCTTCTGCTGTAAATTGGGGCATTTTAACATGTGAGTCTATGAGTGCTCATTCACTTTCTGAGCCTGCCTCAAGTGGCGACTGAAGGAACTGCCGTTCCAGCACTTTTAACCCCTCAGTCATGATTTTCACATGTGATAAATTGAGAACGATGCAACATAACTTTTTCAAATTGATACCATTGGTGCATCTAGTAAAAATCGATGACATGTTTGAATCTCAGCTACCTCAACCTCAAGGATCAAGGTCATGGATAAACTTTTCTGAAAATACTCTATGGTGTAAATTTGACTTTGATTATTATTTTGTTGTCTGGTTGTGTTTCGTCGACCTTTATGTAGCTAACCTGACGCCATGAGTGAAGTAAGCGGTTGGTATAATCTT